CTAACTTAACCTAACGTGTTCTAACTTAACCTAACGTGTTCTAACTTAACCTAACGTATTCTAACTTAACCTAACGTGTTCTAACTTAACCTAACGTGTTCTAACTTAACCTAACGTGTTCTAACTTAACCAAACGTATTCTAACTTAACCTAACCATTCTGAGATAACTAGTGCCTGTCGGGTCCAGAAACTTCAAGTCATTTCAAATTAACATTAACTTTAAAAATGGTACTTAATCTCTCTCTCACCTGACTTCTTATTGTATCTCTATGTTAATTTACTACACCTCATTTATGATGGAGGGAACCAGACCTTTTTAAGCAGCCACACAAGACGCGGTTTGGTTGACATTCTTACACTCTGCCAGTCAGTGAAGGGAGACAGTGAGTGAAGGGAGAGTCTAACTTAACCTAACGTGTTCTAACTTAACCTAACGTATTCTAACTTAACCTAACGTGTTCTAACTTAACCTAACGTGTTCTAACTTAACCTAACGTGTTCTAACTTAACCAAACGTATTCTAACTCAACCTAACCATTCTGAGATAACTAGTGCCTGTCGGGTCCAGAAACTTCAAGTCTTTTCAAATTAACATTAACTTTAAAAATGGTACTTAATCTCTCTCTCACCTGACTTCTTATTGTATCTCTATGTTAATTTACTACACCTCATTTATGATGGAGGGAACCAGACCTTTTTAAGCAGCCACACAAGACGCGGTTTGGTTGACATTCTTACACTCTGCCAGTCAGTGAAGGGAGAGTGTGAGTGAGAGTGAAGGGGGAGAGTGAGTGAAGGGAGAGTGAAGGGAGAGTGAAGGGAGACAGTGCGTGAAGGGAGACAGTGAGTGAAGGGAGAGTGAAGGAGACAAGGGGAGTGAAGGGAGAGTGTGAGTGAAGGAGAGAGAGGAGGAAGGGAGAGTGTGAGTGAAGGGAGACAGTGAATGAAGGGAGAGAGAGTGAAGGGAGAGAGGCAAGGAAGGAGACAGGAGTGAAGGGAGAGTGAAGGGAGACACTGCGTGAAGGGAGACAGTGGAGGAAGGGAGAGGAGTGAAGGGAGAGTGTGAGTGAAGGGAGAGGTGGAGTGAAGGGAGAGAGTGCGTGAAGGGAGACAGTGAGTGAAGGGAGAGAGAGTGAAGGGAGAGAGTGCGTGAAGGGAGACAGTGAGTGAAGGGAGAGTGAAGGGAGACACTGCGTGAAGGGAGAGTGTGAGTGAAGGGAGAGTGTGAGTGAAGGGAGAGTGTGAGTGAAGGGAGAGAGAGTGAAGGGAGAGAGTGGGTGAAGGGAGAGTGTGAGTGAGAGTGAAGGTGGGAGTGAGTGAGAACGAGTGAAAGAGTTTCCAAGGGTGATCACTGCAGTCTTAAAAGAGTGTGTTGTGTATATTACATGGTGTAGGCTCTTATAATATATGGATATGGTCACTGGTCAGCCTCAGTCAAAAGTGAAATGTAATGATTGTGTTCGTAAGAGTAACTGCTTATAACGTATTTTCTCTGGAGTGTAATTACGTTTTTTGTACGTGTGTGTTTTTTCTAGAAAGGTTTATACCAAGAATGAATTATTGGATCACTTGAGTAGAACACTTAGCACCCTAACTTATTTCACGCGACGATTAAGCACCTTAACTTAACCCTTAATCAGGTGATACACGTTGAGGTGCTTAATCTTCACGTGATCAAAATTATCTTCCCTCTCAAGAGTACTATTTATAAAAGTACAATCCTTCCATCACCTTACTTACTCACATGTGGAAAGTGAAGGTAAATGTCACACATTTGTTTGGTGTGATAACGTTTTAACGCATGTCTCATCCAACACGTGACTCTGTACTAGATATTGTTAATGGCATTTTCATCACTGAGGCTTAGCGAGGGGTAGCCTGACACAAACATGTTGTTATATCCGGTGTGATTCAGTATTTTTCAACGGGTTGAGACCTCAACTGGATGCGTTGATATCCTTTACCCCTCTCCCACGGTCGATGAGAGGAGGTGGTGCTTCGAACGTCCTTTCTCGGTCGTGGCTCAGCCGGCACTGATGCACTGGACGCAGTTTGTGTCTGTCGGGGGATTTTTAAACAATCCCCCACACCCACCTCCAACCTCCCCTTCCGTCTCTCTCACCTGGGGATGCTACCTTTCAATTGTAAATAAAACTAAATCATCTTTGTGGGCTTTTTGTTTCTATTAACTGTAGTATGTAGTAGGCAGCTACCAAACAGGAAGGTACTACTGTACCGCCTGGGAAGATATTGGAAGCATAATGTGTTGTCTAATGGTAGACCCTGCTGCCATATGGCATCACGAAAATTGTGACCAAGTCCCAGGTTGCTGATCTGACTTTCTGCCTCCTCAATATTACCTTGTAATTCAGTTGTCGGTAGGAACATTATAGAATCTAGTTTCATTAAACATACCGAATCTGTCAACACGAATTTGAGTAATGGTATGTACAAACTGGATAATTTTGTGATTAAGAAGATTTGTAACCAGGTGAGAAGGTTGGGTCATCTTACCCTATGACCTGACTACGGACAGCTGCTGGTCTTAGAGATGGTATGGTCAATTTCTTTGGATTAAGAAGATTAGTAAGGGTCACTGACTTATGACCGGAACATTGTGGACCCCTGCTGTCCCCTCGGGACCCCTCCTTAAGACTGTCCCCATGTACAACATACAGTTCATCTCTGTTTATTTCTTCTGTCCATGTTTTGGTCATGGATGTGCACTCAGAGCTTCCTCTTCTATGACTAAATCTATTGCTTTACCGTCATTTTTGTCAGGGTTTATACACTCTCCTAGGTCTTCATCAAACTCATCACTTAACTCTTTTTCTACTTCATGGACATTATCCAAGTCATTGAAACATTGATTAGTTATATAGAGTTCTACTGCCAGCTGTCTGTCATTGAAAGGTGTACGTTTATCATTTGTTTGTTTAAGACCAATATTTGTTGACAATCAGTCAAAATTATCATTGTGTTAGATTTCTCAGAAATTAATGAAACGTCTTTTCCCAGGAGTAACTTCTTGAGCCTGAACTTAAAGTTCACAGCATTTGGCTGGTCGTAGGTCCCATGCATCTGTCTTATGCACCCAAACAAATGCTCCAGACAATCTTGATTTAGTTTCTAGTTAGAATGATTTCAAGATTAAAAAAATTCTGGGGCATTTTGTACAACCCTATAAGTGACCGAGATGATAATATTACTTCTTTCTGAAACTGGTAAAGGCCGTTCAAGAGTCGGTTTTCTACTCTCATTGTTGTCACCACATCAATCATTCTATGCAGAACGTTTACTTGGTCACATAAATTAATTCCAAATGCATTAAGTGGTTGCTTTTCACCAAATTTATGAGAAGAATTCAAAATGTCAAACCATTCGTCCACAAGATTTATGAAGTCAGCAGTTTCCTTCCAATTTCTACTCTCCAGTAGTCCTCTTTCTCCAAGATATTTCAGTGAGCTAGAGCTTGTTTTTGACAACAATTGGACTGCATATTTAACCCACTGTCGTTGCTGGCCCCATATATTTAAATACATTTCACTTAGAGTAGGGTTTAGCATACAAACTGTCTTACTTGTCATCATTATTTCCCGAATAGAGGAATCAGTTATAAAGATTCCATCCTTTAGGTAAAATCCTGAATCGAGAAAATTATTCCGAATTAATTTAATCAAATGTGGCCCGGGTAAGACTGGGGTCAAGGAGACAGGCAGAGTGGATCACCTGACGTCATCACTCCCGCACGCCTCGGACCTCACTGCGGCGCGCATGCTGAAACACTGGTGCTTCGTGGCGAGTTAAAACAAAGCAACGCCCCCAGACAGGGGGTGGAGCATTTTGAACTAAACAAGAATTATGAAGTTAAGGGACAATTATAAATTTAAACGTTATTGTGGATAGTTTCCCTTTTCAAAATATGTTACGTGTGTCCCTAGGGAAACTAATAAAAATACGCGTATAGAAGACGTCATGAGGGGGCAGGCGGTAACTGACCCAGACGGACGTCCCAGTCCGTGTTCGGTCGATAAGTGACCACGTGGTCTGCGTCCTCGCACGCACGTCAACCTTGTTACAAACACCACTTTGTCCGATAACTGTCTAGTGGTCTGGAAGATATAGCTGGCAACGCAAGGGCGGAGACAACCCGACCAGCTAGCGAACAGGTGTCCATATTTACCAAGCTGGTTCATCGAGTCTTCCCCCAGATAGGCTCATACAACACCACTGGAACCCACACATCTCCTTAGTCAGCTAAGAGAAAAAATCTTCTCAACGGGGAATAATAATAATAATAAACGGTTTATTAATACAGTTGCAGCCGGTGGCTGAAAATATACAGACTTACATTTGATTTAGACATATTGATATAATATGCATTGAATACATTTACAGGGCTGTACAGTACATAAATTAGGAGTTGTTTATTATTTTAACAATAGATGGGATGGTGCTGTTCTTATATCTATCGGTGTTGAATCACGCAATTTTTTTTCCAACCGAGGTTTAGTTTTAAAGAATGGAGCATTGGTCTGTACTGTTTCATAACCAAAATGATTACTGTATTTTCTTTTTTGTTAATGAGAAGTATTTTTTTTAACTGAAGCAACAAAGGATTACTTTATTTTTTTTCATATTCATAAGGATTTATATTTTGCTAAGGTGAATTATGTGTTTTTCAGGTAAATTGTAATTTGTAACTGCAACAATAAAAGCTTCATGTAATATAATTTATGGTTTATTAATATTCCAAACCTCTCACATTTGATATGCACAGTTGCCAAGTGGTGATTAGAGAAGGCTCCAGTACTACCCTGATATAACAAATATAATTATCATAATATATGCTAATTGTGCAGTCGGAAAACTAAGGTAAAATCTTTAGAGAAATGTTCTCTCATTTTTTAGGTAATTTTGATTAATCCTTGCTGCTACTTGTGGGAAGCCCTGGTTAAAGAACTGACAGACCGCCCACATTAGTTTCTAGTATGTGGTCGGAGGGCTAGTACGTGTGTACAACAGTGCTGACAGTGTATTCCTTCAATTTGATATTTGATAATGGCTAATTTCTTCTTCGTACGGCCAACTTACTGCTTCTGTATTCATCTAATTTACCATCCATAGATAGATAAAGCGATGCCAAAAATATATCATATATAAGTATTGTGAACACATCTGGCATTTATGGACGGTAAAGAACGATTACAATAATTGCTTATCATATGCCTTTTTCTTTATTAATGGAGAAGTGTGACGTTGTAGTGTTACATATTTTTCAAAACACAAACAATAACAGTATAAACAGTTCTGAATACCTAATACCTGAATACCTGAATACCTGAGTACTTAATCAATAAGAGTACAACTCAGACATGGCAACTTGAGGAATACGTATCGCTGAAGCACTCTTGCGAGCTGAGAGAACAGTGTCAGTAGGCAATACGGTGCTCGCTTCAGTAGTGCCTATTGTCTCTAGCAGGTGACGTCTTATCAAACTGAAGAACAAGAAGAAAATTTCGAAACCAAAAAAGGTGAGAATATGTTGACTATAATAGTAAAACTTTTTACTGTCTACAACAATATACGTACATACAATATTTCATGCAAGTTTTGTATCAAGTACATGCATACGTGTTTTATTTTACAGTGAATAAAGATAGAAAAAGGATTAAAAAGCAATAACGAAATAAATGGATATATTGTACTGGACTCAATAAACTGGTCAACGATTGTAGTGAGTGTTGATGTGTGTCGTAGCTCGACTATCTCCATGTGTGTTTAGAGACTGAGAAACTGATCACTGGACACTAATGTAGAGTGTGGGGTATGGGATGTTTGGTTCACACTCAGGATGGGATGGAGAAAGGAAACTCACAATGTGCTCTCTGTATACATGTTGTATTGGATGTACAATGCAGCTTGGTGCTGGGAAGGCAGCATGGTTACAAGCGTGATGTAGAACATAAGAACATAAGGAGTCTGCAATAGGCCGGTTGGCTCTGTGCATGGCAGCTCCTGTCGAGAGTTACTACCACTCTCTATCATCCATGAATCTATCTAGCCTCCTTTTGAAACTTTCCAGAGTTCCCGCACTTACTACAAAGTTGCTAAGCTTGTTCCACTCGTCCACCACCCTATTTGTGAACCAGTTCCTTCCTATCTTCCTCCTAAACCTAAACTTATCCAACTTGAATCCGTTGCTACGAGTCCTATCCTGCTCGGATATTAGAAGAACTTTATCTATATCCCCTTTATTGATTCCTTTCACCCACTTAAATACTTCTATCATATCTCCCCGCACTCTTCGTCTTTCTAGGGAATGCAAGTTAAGTTTCTTTAACCTATCCTGATATGGAAGGTTTCTAAAGAGCTGAAGATGTTTGTATACATACACTGTCTGCATACATTATCATTTTGTATACCTGCACTATCTTTGTATATTGCTTGTATAGATACCTGTACTGTTTATGTACAGTACGTTATATACTGTACTTACATCATCTATGCACAATGAAAGACAAAAGTACTGTAGTGTCGTGAAATATGGTGAAGACATATGCAGAAGGGCTAAACTTTTGGTGCGCACTGCCTTGTGGTTGGGGGCTCTGACAATGTTTCACGAGTTTTATTCAATCTTCGGACAAAACCGCGACACTACTTTTGTCTTTGATTGAACATGCTGATTCAGTGTGAACTTATTTGACTATTTTACTAAAAATAATCTCTTTATCTATCTATCGAACCTGTCAGTTTTGACTTGACGTACAGGTGCAATGAAATGTGTGTGTGTGTGTAATAATAATAATAAACGGTTTATTAATAGAGTTGCAGCCGGTGTGTGTGTGTGTGTGTGTGTGTAGAGATAGAAAGAAAAGGAAAGAACGATAATGAAGATTGTATAATGTGGACATGAGTGGAGTGTTTGGTGCCATGTGTATACACGCTAATACCCGCCGCACCTACTTTAGCCTTGAGAAAGGGGAAGTCCCTGTCTTGGGGGAACTCCTCGCAAGTGCCCCGTACTGGTAAATATTTATAATTTCACCCCTCATCAGCTTATAAGCCGTTCGACCAGCTGGCCCGTGCTTTGTTATGCACTTTATTTGTCCAGTATTAGTACAGGAGGAAAGCAGAGTACCTGGAGGAATCCTGTGTTATAGGGTCACAACAGATAACACTTCTCATGTGTGTCCGGGTCAATGACAAGGTGAGATATACGCGCGTCACCGCTGTACCACCAACACTTACTAGGAGTATTCGGATCACGTGAGGATAAGGCACCCCAAGGCCACGCAGCATACCACTAAACATTACCACCAATAACTAAAACCTTCCTTTTGGGGACTTTCCTGATTAAATCAATCCATGCCACTACTCAGGTTTTTCTATCAGAACATGCTGTATAATCTAATTCGAAGTGTATAAACATCTCAGGGGGCACTACTCGCTCGAATGCATCAGTCTTGTTCAAGGTTCTTCGAACACTGCTGGAGACAGCTGGCAACACAAGGCCGTTTGTTTACTACAGTACGTAGTAAAAATTATGAATGAATGTAAAAGCCCAACCAATAATTAAGCAACGGGGAACTAAGTAACCAATCACCGATCACTTTTACATTCATTCTTAATTTTTACTACGTACTATAGTAAATAAACGGCCTTGAGTTGCCAGCTGTCTCCAGCAGTGTTCGAAGAATCTTGAACGAGACTGTACACATATCTGGAGCTGGCGGACGTCCGCCCCGCAAGGGGTCACAGCTCAAGGTTGAAGAAGCCTTAAGTCCAGAAGACTGCGAGGGCAAATTTTTTCAGAGTGAGAATTGTGAACTCTTGGAACAAACTGCCGGGGAGCGTTGTGACGGCACCCAGTGTGAGCTCATTCGAGGCCAGACTTGACCAACACTGGAGCAGGTTCCAATATATTCAGGAGCCAGTGCATGCCCAGTATCTGCCAACAGTGTGTATCACAGACGTGACCGACCGCCTAAGCGGCTAACGAGCCGATCAGTGGCGAAGAGGATAAAAATTTAATTATAACATTATATATGATAGTAACAGGATTCTTGAGGGGTAGCATCGTGACGAGGTCTGGGACCCGTGGGTTTATTTATATTTAAGATGAATACCGGACACATTACCAGAACATACACCTCAGAACCACTCCTTGGGGTTCACTCAAGACTTGGTCAAATTTACGTAAACATTGATACAAGCTTCAAAGACCACTTGACCTTACTTCCACGTCAGCCTTCACGCCAACAGGACAGGACCAATGTTCAATCAAAAGAACCTGTACTGTAAGTTTCTGGTATCATTCTGTGAGTGACACAAGGAATGGTCGTCCGCACTTCAATATTATTATATTACTACTTAGTAACACTCCTTGGCACTTACCAAACACCCATCACAAGATTGTTCGTATACAGCAATTATTATTACTCTCCACCCTTGGGGGATACAAGTTACTCCTGCACGCACAGCTATTACGACTCTACGAGTCAGTGATACAAGGACTGGTCGTCCGTACTTCAATAAATTATCTTACTATTTATACTAACACTTCATAGGACTTCTCAAACACCCGCCACAAGGTTGTTCGTGTACAGTAATTATTATTCCTTTCAACACTTGGAGGATATAAGTTACTCTGGCCCACATACAGTTATCACGACTCCACTAGTCAGTGATACAACCTTGCGTCTCGTCTCTTAACTACTTCATACCTGTTTACACTCCTCAAATCACAGGATACATCGGTATTCATTTACCAGGTGGAAATCGGATTCCTGAGACAACAAGTACGGATACATACAAGATGTTAACCAAAATTAAAAGCTTCACCCTATTAATATTAAAAAAAAAAATGACAGTCATAAAAGCAAACCAAGCAGCTTTCTCCCACCACCGAAAAAGCAAAATTATAGTACAGATAGGTTATTGGTTAAACTAATACAATCAACACAGTATAAATGACTTGACACATATAAACAATAGTTACCTTGCTTGAGAGTTACTGTGTAGTATAGAACAAAGTAAAATTAATGAAAGCTACCTTCTGTGATTATACAAGTAGAAATCTTAACCCACGGTATGTTATGAAGACGTTGTGGTGTACTGTAGTGTATATTTTTGTCTTGTCAAACCCACAAATAGTGAACACAAGGAAGTATATACTGGCATATACTATTATCGCAATGGAAGGACATTACCCATCAAATTATTCCTGAAGACTTCCTTTATTCTCTGAAGCAAAGGCTCGATGAACCCCTGAATAGCTGTTTAGTCTGGAGCAAGCCCATCATGGTCTCTGTTGACAGTCTATTTCTTGTTTTGTTTTCATTCTATTGATCGCTGGGGCTACTGTCCATTTGTTTAGTTTCACCTACTTTACTTTACTCCAAAATTCCTCAGGTTTCATACTGAAATTGACCTCGACGAGAGTTCCTACAGAATTACTTACCAGCCTCCATTCTGTGTCTATTGTCTGAATATCTGATACAAAAATCTGTAGATTAAGCCTCTTTTTCAGAAAACCTGACAATCTGAAATTAAGCACGAAATCTGTAGGTCTACAGATAAATCTATAGAAGTGGCACACTGTCTATACGTTACTGAACGACTCCCCGGCAGTGTTGCCACTCATGAAAAAAATTATTTCAAGATTGACAGAAAAAATTTCAAGGTATGACAAAATAATAAAAGTTACTAATATATTAACTTTGATCCATACTACTGTATTTCACAAAATTTACAAATATACGATATGAATAGTCACACTCAATATTCTCAGTATAGCAGAAAACGAAAACATTCACTGGTTGGAGGGAAGACTAAATAAAAGTTTAAGTAAAATCACTGCAGAAATTATTCCTTTTATATATACAAGTATACCTATCGTACTGTTGCATAATTCTTCACAAAATTTACAAATATATGGTATGAATAGGTACACTCAATATTCTCAGTATAACAGAAAACGAAAACATTCACTTGTTAGTTGGAGGCAAGACTAAATAAAAGTTTAAGTAAATCACAGCAGAAATTATTCCTATTAGAGTACAGATGCAAGAAATTAAAAAAATCACTTCAAGAATGTCTGTATTTCCATATTTTCCTCTTCAGTATCAGAATCTGCTGCTTGCAGCGTTAGAATGGTTTCATTTTTCATTTTTTTCTAGATACCCAGTGTTTCTCCGATGGTAACGTCCTTGTTTAAATTCTTCTAATGTATACGTTGATGGAACACATGAATAACACTTACCCCCTTGGCGAGAAATAGCCTGCTTAGCTAATGGCCTGTTTGCTGCTGTTCTACATTTAAGTCGATTTGTTTGCTTTGTTTTCACAAGTTGACCCGTGAAAACACCCTCTCTACACAAACTGATGAGTGTGGGAGGGCAACCAGTCCACACATAAGTTCCAATAATAAACCAAACTTGAGCTTATCATTCCCATCTTTAACAGACTTCAGCTTGCACCAAAATGCAGGAATTTCGAGGGTGAGCATGGGATCAAATTACCTCTTTTGCAAAGTGACAAGAGAACCAACGCCAGCCTCAGTCACTGGGCTGGAGTCCGTGACTCTCTTACTTTTACTTTTATCCTCTTCGCCACTGATCGGCTTGTTAGCCGCTTGGGCGATCGGTCACGTCTCTTTTCATTTATATTCTTCACCAAAAGATCGGCTCGCTAGCCGCCCGGGCGATCGGTCACGTCTCTGTCACGCACTGTTGGCAAAAACTGGGCATGCACCGGCTCCTCAATGTACCTGAACCTGCTCCAGTGTTGGTCAAGTCTTCTCTTGAAAGAGCTCACACTCGGTGCCGTCACAACACTCTCTGGTAGATTGTTCCAAGAGTTTACAACCCTCACTCCGAAAAAATTTGCCCTCACGGTTTTCTGGACTTGCGGCTTCTTCAATCTTGAGCTGTGACCCCTTGTGGGGCGAGCGTCCGCCAGCTCCAAGTTAGGACACTCGACTAAGTAGTGCCCCCTGAGATGCTTATACACCTCAACTAGGTCACCCCTTGCCCGTTTGTAGTATAAGCTAGGCAAGTTCAGGCGCTCCAATCTCTCAGGGTAGCTGAGGTGCCGAAGTGCAGGCACCAGTTTGGTGGCCCTCCTTTGAACATTTTCAACCAACTGACAGTCCCTAGCATATCTCGTTGAGATTGCGTCGTGTTCCTGTACATTTTCTGTCCAATTTGGTTACAGGGGTGAATCATGGCCTCAGGGCTACCAGATTACTTACCTAATTAAATTATCGTGCTCATGGGATTAAATTATTGTACTCAAGGGGTTAAATCATCGTACTCGAGGGGGTTGTCATCGTACTCAAGGGGCTAGGAATATTCACTGTATGAACTTATTAAGACACTGCACACTGGCGTCTCATACTTACTTACCTTGGCGAATCTATTTTCTGTATCTATTTCCTGTGCTTTTCCTCTGAATGAGATTTCCCTGATAAAATGTAAACACTTTACAAATTCATTCTTGTATTATTTTATGTCTAAAGGAAAGCATGTCCTATATTTCATCTTACACATCCTGTATCAAGCTTCGCGGGTATTGAGCTCCTGTTAATTTTGAACTTCCCCTTAGAGTTTTACTTCATTGGATAAAATTATGTTATTTTTTTTTAGGTTACATGAATGTTAAAAAAAACTGCCATTGTATTCTCTGGCAATATTAATGTTAACAAAGGTGTGATAGTTTCATTTTGTGACACAACTATAGCGAGCGTTAATTTTCCATTTTTAAAAAAATTGCTTGAATGCGGCGTTTAACTAAGCTTTTTAGAATATATATTTAAGGTATGTAAGTGCCTGTATACTGCCAGTTTCTGGGGTCATTAATACTAAGGGTAAATACTTAACTCTAATCTTAATTTCTAAGGGTCGCTGCCACCAGACCCCCTCTGGACAGCATGTAGCTCGTTAGGTAGCGTGCAGAGTGGACTAGGCATTGGGTTAGGTTTTCCATTGACCAGATCCATAAGGGTAAAGAAGGGTGAAACCATAACATCTCTTAATTAATTTATTCCTTATAAAGCATACTGGTAAAAAACATACACATGAATTGGTCTTCCTCGGAAGAACAACGAAAATGTTGGTTACCCAGATGGGCACCAGACTCTTACATTAATGGCGTGTCATCCACATACTTATTGCATAACAATCTGTGACCACCTTACCTCGGTCATTCCTTCTTACACTATCCCTTAACACATCAGACTGCTCCACCTGTATGGAATATAGCACCGTCGGTTATCATACATAGTAGCACCATCTCAACACACATGTTACACTCCACCCCTGCAGGTATGGGACTCCTTGTAACTTTTAGGTATACACAACAGGCACCTCGTTCGCACACCGCCCTCGGTGGGTAAAGACGAGGGCTTCACCAAGAGACATACCAGTACTATTTCTACGCCTGGTATTATAGGTCGCTCCAAGTGACGACCGCAGAGTTTCTCACGGTCTCCTTATTTGTTACTACTCATTTGGAGTGGTGTGCTGGAAATCCACAGGTTCACAGTGGATTGGCATAGCTGGGAGTAGTCACCACCTGTTGGGACGCTCATAGGGATAATGGCTGCCGGGCAGCAAGGCACTCCGACCGCATGGAACCTGAGGTGACGGTAGAACGGAGGGTACTGAGAAATAATGCCTGACGGGCGGTTATCACACCCCCTAACACATTACTATTACACTTATATATCAGGCAAAGCTTTAAACTGTAATAACTTCTATATAAACCTTAATTATAGGGCGGGATATAGCCCGATAGGACACTGACCTGAGGTGACGGTAGAACGGAGGGTACTGAGGGCAGTGCCCTGCCGCTCCTCACCGCGTAGGCCTACAGTTTCCAATCTTTAATTTTTACTTTTATTTCTTACGGTTCTCACCTGAACACTTTTCGGTATATTGTCACTCATGCCGTATAAACACATATTTTAATCCTAAATTACACACTAAGGTAAGGTCTTGGTTTGCTAGTTCGTGGGTAAATTCATTGGGTTATAATATCAACGCGGCACACCCGAGGCGGGTACATGACGCGCCTTAAAACAAAGGCTGAATGTTCATGGCGGGGGTGTATCAACTTCACTTAAAACTGTAATGAGGGATCCTCCTCTCACACATTGCACTATTTGAACACAGACATAAGATTCTCTGATCACTGTACCTGTCGTGGGTATATGTCACGTGAGGATACGAGGTGTATTAAGTTCATACCAACGCATACAAGATATTTCCTTTCAAGTATAGTTTCTGGGTCACTTCCAACACCTCACATAGTTCTGATACATTTATCCTTTTTCCAGATCATTGTTCTCATGTATTTTCATATGATATCTGTGGAAGTTATGTTCGCTACACGCTCACAGACGTAAATAGTATGACCTTCAAACCCTGATCCACACTTAGTCCTACAGTACACTAGTCCGGCTCAACTGGACTTTAACATTCATCTTATGGATACCCTGAGTTCTCCTTAATGCTATGAATACATACAATTAATATGATATAACTGTACCTGGGTACAATACAACACATGGTCTAGTAACATTGAGTAGGTGAGTTGTCCTTTATCAATGTTTCCCGTTTTCTGAGGTTCTACAAGCGCGGTGGATTTACTTTTTTACTTTTATCCTCTTCGCCACTGATCGGCTTGTTAGCCGCTTGGGCGATCGGTCACGTCTCTTTTCCTTTATATTCTTCACCAAAAGGTCGGCTCGCTAGCCGCCCGGGCGATCGGTCACGTCTCTGTCACGCACTGTTGGCAAATACTGGGCATGCACCGGCTCCTGAATGTACCTGAACCTGCTCCAGTGTTGGTCAAGTCTTCTCTTGAAAGAGCTCACACTCGGTGCCGTCACAACACTCTCTGGTAGATTGTTCCAAGAGTTTACAACCCTCACTCCGAAAAAGTTTGCCCTCACGGTTTTCTGGACTTGCGGCTTCTTCAATCTTGAGCTGTGACCCCTTGTGGGGCGAGCGTCCGCCAGCTCCAAGTAAGGACACTCAACTGAGTAGTGCCCCCTGAGATGTTTATAAACCTCAACTAGGTCCCCCCTTGCCCGTCTGTAGTATAAGCTAGGCAAGTTCAGGGTTTTTTAGGAATGACAATGATGTGCGCAGTACACCTGTACCCTTCTATGTCTGAAAAAAATAATAATATTGATTCTCTCCTCCTTTAGGATTCGCATGGAAAAGACCATGAGTGACCAGGACAGTGGTGATCCCCAACAACAGGGAGTCGTCATTGTGTATGAAGATGGGACTGGTATTCGTTTAAACAACTCTGATTTTCATTGGTTTGGAGATCACTGCATTCGGTTGCTTGAAGAAGTACGACAGGAGCGCCTGATAAATCAGGAACTTAAGAACCACTTGGCACAGCTGCTCAAAATGGCACTAGACCCAAATTTCCAGTCTCCTTTCTTTCAGTAAGCAGTGTTTTATATATTGCATGCATTTAAACATGAGATTATTGACGTAAATGATAAATAAGTTTCAAAGTTTATGGTGGTAGAAGAAAATACTCGCATGCAGCCAAGGATAAATAAATAAATAAATCAGGTGCCACTAAAAGGGTTCAGAGTCTCACTTATGGAGATTAGCCCACCCGGACACAAGTCACCGACCCACATCGGGGGCTGGGGGATGAAAATAAAAATGCACCAGAAATAAATCCAGAAATGGAAAAAATAAATCAGACTAAAAGAGTTATGTGTTTTGCTGTCAAAGTAAGAGAAACAATTGAGACCCTGCAATTGTCTGTAAATGAGGCAGAAAGTCAGTCAATTCAGCAACCTGGGACTTGGTAAAAAAAATAAATAAAAAATTATGTAATGTGGCAGCAGGGTCTAACAATAGACAACACATTTTGCGTTCAATTATTTTCCTAGTCAGTAGTACCTCCCTGTTTGAAAGCTGTCTACTACTTACCTAGGAACCTACTGTTCATACTACAATATCACTTGGCTCAATATCAATTTTGTTCTCATTATCCACTGTGTAAATTTAAAGCATACAATACAAGATTACCCATTGTAACTGGTAGATATCAAAATATTTCAAGAGAGAATTTGTGTTAAATGTGGTTATAATGTTATTGGAGCCGATTATCAGTTTATTCTAGAGTGTAACGATCAAGAAATCAAGGGAAGAGATGCAAGTATATCCCAAGATTTTACAGAAACCATCAAATTCGTTTCAAATTGGGTAAATTAATGCAACAGACTAGTATAAAAACTATCCATAAAATAGCTGTGTTTGTGAAGTTTCTAAATAGGTTTGGACTTTAGGCAGATAATGTATGTGATGAATTAGTCATAATTACAATCATGTTTTGATATGTAAATGTATTAATTGTAAATTGGTATTATGATATGTGATTGTAAAAGTCTGAGCCAAATAAATTTGTCTATATCAATATCCAAGATACAACCAGATATAAGCATTTCAATTGAATTTCCTCTTACTCCTCTGTAATACAAATTGTGAACGTCATAGCCTTCCTTGGTAAGTAAAGTGTTTGAGAGTCGATGCACGGCAATCTATAATTCTATATCACCAGTCATTCGGTACTTGTGCGTATATGCAGTAATTTAGAGGATTATAAATCACGCGTGACCTATATTCCTTGGGTGTTTTTACTGCTAGATCGATTTAATTAAAGTCATATAATACTTTTACTTTTATCCTCTTCGCCACTGATCGGCTCGATAGCCGCTTGGGCTGTCGGTCATGACTGTTACGCACTATTGGCATGCACTGGCTCCTGAATGTATCTGAACCTGCTCCAGTGCTTGTCGAGTCTGGTCATGAAAGAGCTCACACTCGGTGCCGTCACTACACTCTCTGGCAGATTGTTCCAAGAGCTTACAACTATCACTCCGAAAAAGTTACCCCTTACAGTTTTTGGGGGCTTACGGCTTCTTCAACTTTGAGCTGTGACCCTTTGTGGCGCGAGCGTCCTCCAGCTCCAGGTAAGGACACTCGACTGAGTAGTGCCCCTTGAGATGCTTATACACCTCAATTAGGTTCCCTCTTGCCTGTCTATAGTATAAGCTAGGCAAGTTCAGGCACTCCAATCTCTCAGGGTAGCTGAGGTGCCGTAGTGCAGGCATCAGTCTGGTGGCCCTCCTTTGGACATTTTCAATCAACTGACAGTCCCTTGCATACCTCGGGGACCAGACGAGGTGACAGTGCAGGGACAAGAGATCGCTGTAACCTATTATAGGGGATCTACTTCCTATAATACTTTACTTTCTCTCTTTCTGAACCACTACTTCAACAATTACTGTATTTTTTAACCTGTGGTAGCCTCGAGGTTAAGACACGTGGGTAAATGTAATAAGGGTACCAAGATATTGGGAGAAATAAAGGTGGTTAGGAGGGTGCGCTGCTGTCCCCCGGCCCTGTGTCGGCACACTTGCTTCCACCACTCTCTCCCTGAAAACAACCCATGTACACCCGTCCCCGCTCCTCCTCGAGTCTTCCCTCTTCTGCTTCAAGCCCTGCATGAGCTTCCTGTGCTGTTCCCTCTGCATTACCGTGCGATCTGGGTGAATGAATACGCTCCGAAATGCCTCGCTCCTTGCTAAATTTTTTGCCTGCCGAATAACCTCCCATTTCTCCTCACTCACTAGTGTGGACCCATATTCTGGAACGGGGTGGTAATATCGACATTATTTACTTAGATTTTGCCAAGGCTTTCGACAGTGTACCCCACAAAAGGCTGAAAATCAAACTGGAAGAGTACGGAATTCGGGGAAATGTCCTAGCATGGATAGAAGACTTTGTACATGACCTCAAGCAGTGTGTGGTGATTAATGGCACGAAATCATCATCCGTACCTGTCACAAGCGGGATACCACAGGGCAGTGTATTGGGCCCGTTGTTGTTTGTTTGTTTCATAAATGACATGCCTGACGTTGTACACTTCCATACAAATGTTTGCCGATGACGCCAAGTTATTTCGTGAAATCAAGAACCGAGCGGACTGTGGAGAGCTGCAGAAGGATCTCTGTGAGCTACAAGAATGGTCGAAGAAATGGCTTCTGAGATTCAATGTCACGAAGTGTAAGAGGATGCACCTGGGGCGTACCAACGGTAAGGAGGCGTATCATATGTCCCAACGGGATGAAGAAAATGCACTAGTTGAGACTGTGTGTGAGAAGGACCTAGGTGTGTATGTTGACAATGAGCTGAAGTTCTCGGGCCATTGTGAGAAGAAGGTAAGAACATAAGAACATAAGAATGGAGGAAACTGCAGCGGGCCTATTGGCCCATACTGGGCAGTCCCGTTTACACCCAACCCCTATTGCTCATATGAGCATCCAACCTATGTTTGAAGCAATTCAGCGTATTCGAGTTAATGATGATATTTGGTAACTTGTTCCATTCATCCACTACTCTGTTTCCAAACCAGTGTTTACCTATTTCACGCCTAAATCTAAATTTGTCTAATTTAAAACTATTGTTACGAGTTCGCTCCTGGTTGGATAATTTGAGTACCTTTGTAATGTCCCCTTTGTTTAGCCCTGCCTTCCACTTATACACCTCTACCAGGTCGCCCCTCGCTCTACGTCTCTCAAGGGAGTGCAAATTAAGATGCTTTAACCTGTCTCTATACTCAAGGTTCCCAATGCCCGGGATTAGTCTTGTCATTCTCCTCTGAATTCTTTCCAAGGATTCTATATCCATTCTGTAATACGGTGACCAGAACTGAACTGCGTAATCCAGGTGTGGTCTCACAAGAGCAAGATACAGTTTTAGGATGACCTCGCTAGTCTTGTAACTAACACTCCTTTGTATGAACCCAAGTACTTTATTAGCCTTGTTACGAGCAAAAACACATTGTTTACTTGGCTTAAGGTTCCTACTCATCATCACTCCCAAATCTCTCTCGCAGTCGGATTTCTCTATGGCATCGTTGTTCATCTGGTATCTGGTTTCCCTGTTTACATCTCCTATACTGAGTACTTTACATTTGTCGACGTTGAATTTCATCTGCCATTTTTCAGACCATTCGAAAAATTTGTTTAGATCTTCCTGTAGTTTTGTGGAGTCCTCGTCAGATTTAATAACACGCCTATTTTAGTGTCATCAGCAAATTTACTTATGTTGCTGTCTATGCCGATATCTATGTCGTTTATGTATATAATAAATAATAATGGTCCAAGTACTGAGCCTTGGGGAACTCCACTTGTGACGTTGCTCCAATGGGACTTAGTGCCGTTAATGCTCACTCGCTGTTTCCTGTCCTGTAACCACGCCCTAATCCATTTAAGGATGTCACCTTTGATGCCATGAGCTTCTACCTTTCTAATTAGTCTTTCGTGGGGGACTCTGTCGAAGGCTTTACTAAAGTCGAGATATACCACATCATAATTGTGCCCCTCGTCCACCGATTCGAACACTGATGAAAAGAATGTTAATAGATTAGTTAGGCAAGAACGTCCGCTTGTGAAGCCATGCTGGGAATCATTGATCAATCCGTGCTTCTCCAGGTGATTTCGAATAGAGTTTGAAATGATTGCTTCCAGTAATTTGCCTACTATTGATCTATCCCCCTTCTTGAAAATCGGTATTACATTCGCTATCCTCCAGGATTCTGGTACTACACCTGTTTTTAAGGACATGTTAAACAACTTTGCTAAGGGCATACTAAGCTCTTCCTTACATTCCTTTAATACTCTGGCAAATATTTCATCGGGACCAGGTGACTTATTAGGCTTTAATTTGTCTATTTGCTTACCAACATCGTTACTAGTCACTACTATCTCACTTAATTTGTTTTCTTCACTATCTCTGAATAGAGTCGATGCCTCGGGTATCATGTTTAAATTTTCGGTGGTGAAAACTGTTAAAAAATATTTATTCAAATTATTGCTCATTTCTCCATCGTTATCAGTGAGCTCACCGGAGTCTGACCGTATTGGTCCAATCTTTTCTCGTGTTTTAGTTTGATACATTTGGTAGAATCCTTTGGGGTTTGTCTTCGCCTCCCTTGCTATCCTTACCTCATTATTCCTCTTTGCTTTCCTTATCTCGGTTTTAACCCTACTCGCCAATACCCTATAATAGTCCCGGAGGTGAATTTCGCCACGATTTATCCTTCTACCTATAGCCTTCCTTTGGCCAATGATGTTCTTTAAATAATTATTTATCCATTTAGGGTCATTGTTGTTCGATCTGAGTTTTTGTATGGTATGTTCTGCCTTTGTGCATTAAGTAACTCACTATTTAAATTGTTAAACTCAGCAATCTCAGATCTCGTTATCAGGTCGGTGTCATCTGTCAGGTTCACGGCCAAGAGCGACACCCCCTCTCTCAGCTGCCTCTTTAAACTGTCAAAGTTTGCCCTTCTGAAATCTGGTACTTTAGTGGAATTTTCCTTACGTCTGCCCTGAAAATCTAACTGGAATCGAATTTCTTTGTGATCGCTGTTTGCAAGTTCGTTCCCTACCTCGACATTGCTAATGAGGTTTTCTCTGTTCGACAGAAGTAAATCCAGTATATTATTACCCCGTGTGGGTTCGGTTATATGTTGACTTAGGAAACAGTCCTGGATCGTCTCGAGAAAATCCTCTGATTCTGAGTTGCCCATAAGGTCAGTCCAATCTATTTGGCCAAGGTTAAAGTCGCCTACTATACAGACTTTGTTGTGTATGGAAGCCCTGCGCATTTCATCCCAGATAAGTCGCTCATTGACGTTATCAAGATTGGGGGGTCTATATATTACTCCTTGTGATTAATTTTTCCGACCGTCGCTTAATTCTATCCAAATTGTTTCTGGTATTCCTCTCAGTTTTTATTTCCTTATTTATTTCACACTTCAGATTATCCCTAACATAGATTGCTACTCCGCCTCCTTTCCTGGTCTGCCTATCGGTATGAAACAGTTTGTAACCCGCAATTTGGTATTCGACTGGTAATTCACGTGTGTCTAGGTTGATCCATGTTTCAGTGAATGCAATTACATCGATTTTTTCGGTACATACCAAGGCCCTAATATCATCCATTTTGTTTCTCATACTTCTACTGTTCGCGTAGTATACATTTAAGTTAGTCGTGTTCTGAGTCCTCCCCTTACCGCGTTTAGTTTTAAACTCCCTGTCCAATTTAGTTTTGTCATCATTCCTAACACTATTTCCCTGTAATCTTTCGCCTTGTTTACCCGCTCCCACTGCAGTCTCCTCCACCCCCGTGCCCATATGTTCTCTTAGCAGTTTAAAGACTTCGATATCTTTTGAACTGCCCCCTCTAGAGTCCCAGCCAGGGTTGCTACTCCATCCCTAGACAGGTGCACCCCATCCCTAGCATAAAGGTCCCTTCTGCCATAGAAGTTGTCCCAGTTGTCAATGAATGGGACTGATATTGACTTGCAATATCTGTCAAGACAGTCGTTGACACCAACTGCCCTTGACAACCATTCACTGCCAACTCTCCTTCTAGGCAGGACACCGCATATGATAGGGATCCCTCCCTTAGTCCTAATACGATCTATGGCTGCCTTGAACTTATCAAGAAGTTCCTCGCTCCTACACCGGCCAATATCATTGCCTCCTGCACTGAGGCAGATAATGGGTTTGTTCCCATTACCAGACAAGATATTGTCCATCCTGTCAATTATATCCCCCACCCCAGCTCCTGGCAAACACACCCTCATCCTATTTTTGTTTTTACCACAAAAGGCCCTGTCAGGCAAATAAATTATTGGGTCTTATAAGAAGGTCGTTCAGATATCTAGACGGTCCGTCCCTCGTGACTATCTTCAGGAGTGAAGTGCTTCCCCATCTGGAGTACTGTCACCCCATCTGGTCCCCGAGATATGCTAGGGACTGTCAGTTGGTTGAAAATGTTCAAAGGAGGGCCACCAGACTGGTGCCTGCACTTCGGCACCTCAGCTACCCTGAGAGATTGGAGCGCCTGAACTTGCCTAGCTTATACTACAGACGGGCAAGGGGTGACCTAGATGAGGTGTATAAGCATCTCAGGGGGCACTACTCAGTTGAGTGTCCTTACTTGGAGCTGGCGGACGCTCGCCCCACAAGGGGTCACAGCTCAAGATTGAAGAAGCCGCAAGTCTAGAAAACTGTGAGGGCAAACTTTTTCGGAGTGAGAGTTGTAAACTCTTGGAACAATCTACCAGAGAGTGTTGTGACGCCACCGAGTGTGAGCTCTTTCAAGACAAGACTTGACCAACACTGGAGCAGGTTCAGGTACATTCAGGAGCCGGTGCAGGCCCAGTATTTGCCAACAGTGTATAACAGAGACGTGACCGATCACCCGGGCGGCTAGCGAGGATGAAAATAAAGTAAAAACATTAACTGGCGCCCACCCAGCTGCCGTAGCCATGGCTGAGAACAGTGTGAGCCCTCGACAGGAAGCAGCTGGTACATTGCTTGGTGCCACAGTAGCGTCAAAACCCTATAATATGGCATTTTGTTCGTGGTATAAAGAAGAAAAATACCGGGACCACTTTAAGCCAGGTTAGTCAGTTGAATTGTGTTACCTCAGCTTATTTTGTAGCTGTTTAAGTAATTGTTTATTATGTGGTACGACTAATTACCCAAATGTACCCAAAATGTACCCAAAATGTACCCAACTGTAGCCAAATATAGCCGCAATGAGGTCAAATAATGGTCCTACATGAATAGATCGGACTGCTAATCACTTCTCGACTAGTATTTGGTGTCAGAAAGTCACAAAAAATTGGAAAACTTAATTTAATCTGAGTTAATAGATCGAGTGCATGTACCTAACCTAACTTAACCTCGACTAGTATTTGGTGTCACAAAGTCAAAAAAAATTGGAAAACTTAATTTAATCTGAGTTGTGTTAGGTTAGGTTAGGTTAGGTTAGATTAGATTAGATTAGATTAGATTAGATTAGATTAGATTAGGTTAGGTTAGGGTTATTACTTAGTGCTTGGGGGTCCAGGGGCGAAACCCCTGGCTAGGTAATGTTAAGTTTGGTTATATGGTATAAGTCAGCAAGCACAGAGTACCGGGAATTCAGAACACGCAATCGATACAAATATTATGAGGGGAAGACTAAATCACAAACGAGTGATTTCCGACAAAAACGAAGGTCAGATTTGAACTAATTGCATACAAGCCCATCAGAAAACTTTTTTTTTTTTTTTTTTTTTTTCAAATTCCATGGTTGCTGTAATGCACATTTACTGTAACTTCAAGTATGTTTCTTGGTCCATTCAAAGTTAGTAGTGAACCAATCAGCACTTTCCAATCTAGTTCTGTCAATAGCCTAGAATGAGAAAATTTTGTCTCTTCAGTTGCCAGTCTTTAGACCATTTCTCACAAAAACACCTCTTCTCCTTTTTCAACACCCTACATACACCTGCAGCATTTAACCATATACTATTGTAACAACTGAGGTCCAGCCTTTGGGCAGAACTGAATCATATGTGGGCAAATGCCACTCTCCACAAGCCTTCAGTTCAGTTGGACTGACAGGCTGAACTTAGCGTGCATGGGGGAGCTTTAGAGAATGGGCTCTGGTAAAAATTTTACTTGTTGCCTCCCAAAGAATTTTGAGAATTTTATGTTTGCAATCAATATTTTAGACAATTCTAAAACACTTTCCTTCTTTGATGTTTCTCTCGCAAACGACCTAACCAGGGGACTACGCCTCGTGGACTCCTGGCATATACTGTACACATTGTTTGTTTATTAGGGAAATGTCATAGAAGAAGTGTCTTAGAATTGTCTAAACTATTGATTGCAACCATAAAATTCCCCAAATTCTTTGGGTGGCAACAACAGAAATAATATATGTAGTACTGAACATGTACCTGGATTCCTTGGTTCTTTCCTTATAAAGAATATTTTTCTTTTAAGATGATAAAAGAGGTAATGGTGGAGGAGATATTTAACAGAAGGAACTACTTATTGAAATGCACCCAAATTTCTGGAGATGTTATTTGCATGATACAAAATAAGAAAATGGAAATGACAATACACAGAATCTAATCTAACTAACTTAACCCCAAACCTTCCGAACCTTACCTAACTTCCTAGCTCCACCTCCTGGACTACCCCAGCATATTAAGCAGAAAAAATTCACTTTCATAACATTGAGGATAGCTATTCGTTTGTGTTGAGTAAGTTGGTAATACTTTGTGAGACTGATTCGTGGGAAGGAGCCACTTTTGGAGAAAAAGTTCTATAAAAGAAAACTTTTCGGTAAAGGTGGAGTAGATGGTTAACACCAGAATTGGCGGTTAATGCAAGGCATATACTGTACATACATAGGTATAAAGCTAGACGTCAAGCATCGATATATTAATCTTGTATAATAACACTCAAATGTGTGTTTCTTGTCTGTCTGTAACATAACGGGACAGCTCCTCGTGAAATATATTGCCAGACTAGCGAATAAAGTCAGGTCAGGGGAGGGTGGGTCGGGCATGAAAATTGTTGGCGTTAAGTCTCCAAATATAACATTATTACATAAATGGGATTTGTGCATTTGGCCTCTTTAAACCCTACTACAAAACACCCTTAAATGGGGGTTGAATAATATAGTTGGCAACTGAAAGTACCCAATGCCACGTTGCTATTAATTTTTGTTGTTGTTATAATTTTGGGTTACCCGATTAGGAAAGTGACAACAACACTTCAGGGATCCCCCAGGGTGTTGTCACCAAGTTTCATGAAAATTGGTAAAGCTGTTTTCTCACCTTATGGGGATGTGCTTTGGAACAGGGTCACAAGTGTGTCATAACATGCTTTGGGAAACGTTATACTGTATATGCCATGCGGTGAGAATGCATTGGAATGTTAATGGAAATAGAAGTATGCGTTAGAATTGCTTCTAGAAAAAGGAAAAAAATACAGTACCCATTATGTTGATGTGTAATGTACAAACTTAAAATGGTAATGGTCTCACTGGTGCATATCACATGTGCAAAAATGGAGAAAGGCATAAAAACTGCTGACCAATTGTTTTCAGTTATTAGCATAAAAGACTGGTTGTAGAAATATGAATTTGAAGTAAAAGGTGCCACCTTTGTTACCTCTGTTTACCTGTTGTAATCACTGATGAATACTAGAAGTTACAACAAGAAATGTTTTTGGGTTAAGTCTACAAACCGAAATGGTCTTTCCTCCTTTTATTAAGAAAATACGTAGTTTATGCACAATTAGAGTACAGTATGATATCACCGTAACTAACACTATGAGTGTTAGAAGAGTTGAAGCGAGTTGTAGCGAGCTTCGTGACCACACGTGTGTTGAGAGTCTGGGGATGACTAAAGTCGCTGGTGGATAAACTGATGACTAACTTTGACAATGGTGTACAAAGGTCATTTGAAAGACAAGGAGGTTATGTGACATACTGAACTGTACTTGCTTCAGTATTAAAAAGTATTTACTAGACACTTGTTCATAGTTCAATTACTGTGGGTGTAGTAATTATATATAAACATAATATATGCAGCTGACATTTATATAATCACTACTGTCTGTTAGAGGGGCGCACAGAAAGGACCCAGCCAGGTGCAAGGGTTATGTGGTGGAGTTGGTGATTACTTTTGGCCACGACTGTATACACTGAAGCCCAGACTATACTGCCTACCCTTTTATACCCAAGCATGGTGACACTCACAAGCCCAGGAGTGCCAAAATAGGGGGTTGATTCGGAATTTTTTCAGCATTTAATACAAGCCGCCCCTATCTTTTAATATGCTTTAAAGGCAGGTCATGGACATTAAGCTAAGTGAGGAGCTGGCTGAGATGAAGTTACCAGGAATTATACCTGAATCAATGCAATCAATCTCATGCCAAATTAACAGTCAGCACCTGACAGCTGTCAAATACCCCTACACACACACACACACACACCTCCCTCCCCGGGAAAAAGGCCCACCCACCACTTGGAGACAATGTGAGCATGAGTGGGCTATACTAGCAGTGCTAACAGTGTTTATATGCACAAATTAGAAGGTATTAGTTATAATAGACTGAATTCATTATAAGTATCTATTTAGATTAGTCTGTTAGACTTTGTATTGCAATACAGCACTTATTTTATAAATATGAATATCAGCTATTTATTGCTTATGGAGCTAGGAATTAGAAATTATCAGTCCCTATTAGATTTGCTCAGCATATGATATGTTTGAACAGTAAGCCAACTAATAGTGTTTTTTGTGTGGGTATGATGAGCAATACAGTACCTACTTGATGGGTATGATGAGCAATACAGTACCTACTTGATGGGTATGATGAGCAATACAGTACCTACTTGATGGGTATGATGAGCAATACAGTACCTACTTGATGGGTATGATGAACAATACAGTACCTACTTGATGGGTATGATGAGCAATACAGTACATACTTGATGGGTATGATGAGCAATACAGTACCTACTTGAATAAAGAAAAAATATGATATGGATTATAATCAATAATTATTTGTTCTTATTGTAATCAATTAAATTCACTGTACAGTACAGTATTGTAATAATCATACCAACCCCGGTACAGTACAGTACAGTACACACACACACACACACACACACACACATACGTACGTGCATATACATACTGTACTGTACTCTACTGTATGATCAGAACTAGTTTAGCATTGTTTAAATTAGGGCATAATTTTTTCTTATCTTGGTGCCTGTACAGTACTTGATATTTATCATTAATGTAACTACTTCCAGGCATCTATGTTTGTCGTAAATGTGGGCATGAGTTGTTTTCAAGTAAAATGAAGTACAACCATGGAACACCATGGCCTGCATTTGTAAACACTATAAAGAGTGATTCTGTCCAGAAAAGGAAAGAAAGTAAACTTGCATTGAAGGTACAGTACTGTCATTTATTTTGCTACCCTTAAATCAAGAGGCATGTGATCAGCATCATGGGTGGCCATTTAATGTGAACTAATTATACTGTACTGCAAGTGAATTACATGTCGTTTGTCATAAACTTAGAGAGATTTCTTTGTCTGGCATGAAACTAACCTTATATGGATTTGTTTTATTGTTTTGCTGTTGAATTGCAATTGCTAAATGAACCTGAATGTGAGTGGTTTTTGAAGTGATTAGAAACAAAATTTTTAATTGCTTTATTCAAAATATAAAATTACTGTGGTAACATCTACTGCATTGTATTTTGTTAATTCAGTTTTGCTCTTGTTATAGTATATGGAGCTTTTTCTTATCCCTATACTGTAATTATTACATTTAAGGAACCAAATTATTTATCACTTAAGGAGTTTTGTGACTATTGTACCTGGAATGTATAATACAGTATATAGTACTGTATATAACAAGGCCCTCCTCTTCAGGCTTCATCTTTATACTATGGTAGAAGCTTTACTGAATATTCAAGTATTTGGTGAAGGTTGAACTGTTGACATATACAGCATTTATATTTTCAGGGCAAGATGATAGTTAAATAGTTTGTGTCAGTAGAAGTATATTTATACACAATACATTATAGTAACAGACAAGTGATCACGGGCACGTTCGTGCCCTTGTGAGAGTTTGAACGCTCATAACAGCGTACAGCGAATGTGGGTGTGCCAAGTCCGTAGACTTGCTTGGTTAATTAGGGTTCGCCAAGTCCGTAGACTTGCATCGTTTTCTATCGTAAATAAAATTATTATCTAATGCCTTCCTAAAGAAACCTTCGACATGGGACCAGATTTTTCCACTCTACGAATTTTTTGCGATTTTTCCACCAAGTTTGATGAAAAATGATTGTGCCGTTTCGGCTGCCCAGAACACACACACAAGCAGACACACGCCTAGTCCTATAGTATATTACATGTAAAACAAAGAAAATCGATTTTAAAATTGTCAAGGAATTACATGTTATATCTATCTTCAGGTGAAGGAAATATGTACATGACTTCAAACAATGCAGAAGATACAGTGACCCCTCGGTTAACGTAATTTCGATTAACGAACTGCCTTCCATAAGGATCTTCAATTCGGTTAACGAAAAAAATTCGGTTAATGAAGTTCTTACGAACCGACCTCAACATGTTTTCGCTTGCACTGACCGGGCAACCAGCTTTAGTATCAGTCCGCCAATACATTAATCGGTTCTAGGGCTTAAATTCCTTACTATTTTAGTAAATATCAAGAATTTATACTATTCAATAATTTTAAAAGTTTAATATTCAATTTTTTGGTTATTACAGGTATTATTATTATTACAGTATTATTGTTTTTGTTTTGTTTTTATTAACCCCCGACCTCGATTTGGGTCAGTGATCTGCGCCCGGGTGGGCTAATCCCAGTATATACAGGTATATATATACTTATATATATATATATATATATATATATATATATATATATATATATATATATATATATATATATATATATATATATATATATATATACAGTATATATATATATATATATATATATATATATATATATATATATATATATATAGAGAGAGAGAGAGAGAGAGAGAGAGAGAGAGAGAGAGAGAGGACCTTAGCTTTTGTCCTTATTCAAGACATCTTTAGTAGAGGCAACTGAATTACAAAGACTGAGAGAGAACTTATGTACACAGGGTGACCTTACAAAACATTAGGTCAGGTCAAAAAACATGACATCCACTAATCCACACACCAACCACACAGCAAACATAAGAAGAGATTATAAGAACGGGCCACAGAACTAGTCAATTCACGTCTGGTAAAAAATATGAGACCCACTAATCATCTATCATACATCTACCTTACATGCTTTCAAAGCATTTTTAACCTTGGGCCACTGACAAATAAATTTGTGTAACATATTATCAGTTTTGTACTGACCGTCACTAAGGTTTAAAGAATACATTTCTCTAATCAAACTTGCTTCAACTAGATGTCTTTCTGTGACACATGATGATTTATACACTTCTAAATTGTTTTCCCAATAGATGGGATGATTATTGTTCCTTATGTGAACGAACAGTGCACTGCTTTCAGATGCTGTTCTGATATTGTACTTGTGTTGTTTAATTCTGAGTTGCAATGCTTTCCCAGTCTGACCTACATAATTTCCATTACAATTGCTACATTGAATACAGTAAACACTTCCATTTACATTCAAGGTTGGGCTATTCTTAATTAATATATTAGTAATAGTTGAGATATACTTAAAAACAACATTAATGTTTAATAATTTAAGGGACTGAACTAATGGGACAAATTCATTGCGATAAGGTAGAGTCAAAATATTCTTAAATGTAGGAACTTGCCGAGTTTGAGTAGAATAAAAGGATTGTTTAGCCCTTTTAAAACAATGAAGGGTACCCAAGTTTTTGTGCAATGGACTGAATGTGTTGCATTTCTTCTTCAATAAATTCAGGGTCACAAATATGCAAACATCTCAAAAACATAGCAGAAAAAACTGACATTTTGGTAGACTCATGGTGGCTCGATAAAAAAAAAATGTATGAAACTGTCTACCTGTGTAGGCTTTCTGTACACCTTAGATTTATAGTTATGAGTATTTTTCATGATAAGCATATCAAGAAATGGAAGGGATCCATTTATCTCTCTTTCAATTTTGAAGGTAATCCTAGAGACAAGATAATTAAGCTTGTCTGAAAATTCTATTGGGTCACTGTTTCTAGGCCATAGACAAAGCACATCATCTACATATCTATACCATGGAGGAATAAAGTCACCTATGTTGGGTCGTAATCTAGCTTCAAGAAACTCCATATAAATACAGTGTATCATAGCCCAAGTTCTTTTATACAGCTAAAATCGCTTAATTTAAGAGAAAAGAAGTACAGGTAATAGAATGACAAAATACAGTAAATGAAAGTAAAAAAATAAGTCATTAGGTAAATAGAATACAGTTACTGTAAATTTAAATTTTAACTGCATTCATATCGGTGGATGTTCGTAACTCGGGGACCTCCTGTAAAGGCTGCTATACCTGTACGTACATGTACTGCACTGTATATCAGCCTCTTCATATGGTTCTCTTAACTCCTTCTGTTTGGGAATGTCACTTTTAAAATTTTATTTGGCTTACATCAGACGATTTTATTCAGCACAGAGGGGATCCCAATTACAAGTGGTTAAAGGGTCCTGCTCGGTGGCTTGTGAGTACAGATTATGTGATTACACTGTACTGTACAGTGCAGGTATTTTAGTTTGTACTCCTGCCTAATAATACAACTTATATCTATTGTGGGCTCTCAGTGACTGTACTGTGACTTTTATACTGTACTGTATTATAAAGTGTTTTATGTTTGTGATTTTTATTTTTATTGTGGCCTCTAGGACCAAACATAATTATTGTACTTACTGTTATAAAAAGTTTATTGAAAGGTATTCAGTAAAATTGTCAGACAAGTTCACATTGATTCATCATACAGTATACATAGACAGTACAGGTTAAACAGTAATTGGTGCCACCAAGGATATGGCAGCCCAACAAAGCCACCTTTATGTTATAACCTCAAGGTCCTCTGCACTTATGTTATGAGTCACTTTTTACTCTGAAAAATTCTCATGTTTACCAGAGACGGAAATCTAATAAGATTATGAGTTTAAAGTTTCTGTTTATTGTTTAAGTGAATAAGGAATAAAATGATGAAGTGTGAATTAAGAGAAGAAAAATACTAACAATTAGCATATGCATTGTTGAGACTGAAGGCAGGCACAGCCCACACAGGAGCAGTTTTTCACTTGAAATATTGTTTGTTAAAATGAGTAGAGGATCGTTTATTGATTTTTAATACCTGTGCCCTAAGACATGAGAGTTGTTAAACTGAATTCTCATTACAATATTTGGTTATTTACCTAATGGCCACCCACTAGAGATGGTCATGCCACAGGAAGGAGGCCATTGGCCTCTGTAGGATCCCAGCATTGTTCTTGATAATTTTGTCAAGTGTTCTTTTGAAGCCCGGTACTGTTCACGATTCCACAGATTGGCTGTTAGACAGTTCCATAGGTCTACCACCCTCTATGTGAAGAAGTACAGAATTTCCTAATGTTCATTTTGTGTGGTGTGTGACATCACAAAGAAAGGGGTTGGGTTCCTGTTTTCCATCCCTTTCAGGATTTTGAAAGTTTCAAAGAGATCTGCCCTATTATACAGTACAGTACCTTGTCTTAAGGATTGTTATCCCTAAGGCCCTCAGTCTACTTGGATAATCAATATGACATAGTTCCGGAATCATCTTAACTGCTTTGTGCTGCACCTTTTCTAGGGATGTTAGGTTTTTTTTTAAAGTAGAGTTCCCTTACCTGTATACAGTAATCCAGACTGGGCCATAAATGAAATTTGTACAGTTGAAAAAACACTTTTATACCTGTACATGTATTTGCATTTGAAGGTATGCTGGGTATTTATTAAGCAGGACCTTAGTGTACATATTATGATTTATTAAATATTAAGTACAATATATGAGTATGTCAACAGTCCAGCCTTACCCATTTTTTTCTATACCATGTACAGCTAATTCACATTAATAGAATGGAAATTGGAATGTGGGACTTAGAATCTAATTGCAAGAAGAGCAAAGTCACTGTTAGGAACAATCAACTCTCATTTTGCCAGAATTTTTATTTCTGCCTCATCGTGGAAATAGTGTATAGTACAGTATTGTAATCATGAGTTTATATATCCAGGCTCACTTTAACGAGGATTACAGAAACAATCCCACTAGTGGATAGCTGTTGATATAGGATGAAGTAAGAACTCATTTAATGATTAAACAAGCTTAAATGAATTCCTTTCACAACATATCGAAAAAGACAATGTAAAAGGATACTTTTCAAATGCAATTAACATAATGGGACAGTAGACATTTATGACAGGCAGTGGGACTCAATTTAAAGAAACTAGAATTAGTAGAGTACTTTGAACTGTCAAAGCTGATTTCTTTGTAGTAAGAGTTGTGAACTTTTGGAATTACCTGTCTGATAATATTGTAACACAACCCATGTGTGTGTGTGTGTGCTGTATTTGCCAACACTGTGCAGCAGAAAGCTGACTGACTTCTCAACTGACTGACAAATGGTAAAGAGGATAAAGTAAAGTAATATTGTGATATGGTATATGCATTGGGGTTCACATACAATAAAAAAATATATATATATTAAAACTTACTTATGGTGGCACCTGCCATAGAAAATTTAAATTCCTACAAATATGGAAACTATACAAGCAAAGATTGTTCACTTCTTATTTTAACCATGATGAGGTCGTGTAGGGTAACTTACAAATTGCTGGAGGTAATGGTGCTGGGAGTTTGGGTTGAAGAGGATTTGGGTGGTGTGGGTGAAAGTTTGGGAGTGCTACTAGGACTGGCTGTGGGGAATAGCAGAGAAAATGGAGTCACTCACTTCATAATTTTCTCCATTTGAGAACCTCACAAAATTGGGCTTCTCTGGTTATACCTCAGATATGATTACTTCTGGTTATTGACATATTGTATAAGTTTATAAGAGCACAATTTACTAAGATGACAAAAAATACTCTATTATCAACAGTTGATCATAACATTATTGTTGATGTGAATTACTGAGAGAACAAAGCTTGGGGTCCTCGTTTCCTCAAAAACTGAGGAAAGTGTAGCTGTCATGTGGATTGGGCCAGCTCACTTGTTGTAGAAAACTGAATAAATATTCCCAAGCTAAGTTGTTCTGGTAAAAATTTTGCACAAATACTGTACAGCATAAACAAAAGTTAACTTATTGGAATATTCCGAACATCCAGTATATGAAGGGTTTACTGTGCAGTACAGTACAGTACACAAAAATGCAACATCTTTGTTCCTTAGAACTGGGTATATAGAAATATACTGTACTCTATAAGGATAGGTAACATGGACAGTGGCAGTGCAGTTAATGAGGGTTGATGTGATAACTATGTACAGTATTATTAAGACTCGGCTGTATCAAGACATTAATAACAACATATACTTAACTTAAATTGCTCTTTTTTTTTAATATTAATATACTGTAGTACTATAAAATAAATCTTTTAGTACCATTTACAGTATTGTACAACATGAAATGTATCTTGCATTAGATTTTAGTCCCATTTCCTGTTATTTAAGAAGGTAAGGGCTTATGAATTGGTGTGCTTAATGAATAGGGGATTGCAGGTGTGTACGTATGTGTAGAGTGTGGTTACCAGTTGTTCTCCAGCCGGGCTAAGTATGAGCACACCACTCCCTGGCCATCATTCACTGACACCATCTATAAGGACTCTGTGAGCAAGGCTCCTGAAGAGGGTCGACCAGGTGCATTCAAGGTTAGATATCATTTTATATTTTAGTACTGTACTATAATAGGTTATACTTTTGAAAATAGCGTTTAAGAATTTATGTTTGGATGAATTTTTGCATATTTCTTAAAATTTTGGAGAAAACTATTACCCAGATTTCAGACTGCTGTGGCCTTTAGTTTATGAGATAAACATCACTGAAATTTGACCAGAACTTGATGATTTTATAAGATGAAGTACACAATTATTCTCAAAATTGACTTTTACAAAGCTGTTGCTCTTCTGGTTTTAAAGATCTTGAAGAGAGCTGCCCTTTCTTCCTTATAGATTTATTGAGAAATATAAGACAAAGGTGTTATCACATTGACCTTTGACCTGACTTAAGCCGAATGATGTAATCTGCGACTTTCTTTGAATTTTAGTGTAAGGAAACAAACTTCTTTTCATAGTACTGTAATAACATGATGGACACACTAATATTACAATATACTGTACTGTATTGAACTGTACTTTGTGCTTTGCTTACTTGGATAATCACAGTTCTAAATAAACCTTCATTTTATTAGAACATTTGCTGGGGTGTTCCCTCATTTCAAGCACAGGAAGAAACATGAAATTGGTGTATCCACAGGGATTAAGACATTTGCCCTTGCTGATTTTGGGGCAAGTCATCCAATATTGTACCAGTGTACCATGGAGACCATCTGGCACTGAAGTCTTCTAGAAAAATGGATAAATCCTTCATTTTTGACCTGGAAATTCCCCAGAAAAATTGTCATAATTTCTTAAGTGTTAGAATGCCCAACCTTAAATCTTCATCAAAATATAGCCAGGTGTATATGCTACATTACACTATACAGCTACTCCCCGACTCACGACCTACTCAACTTACGACCACCCGGACATACGACCACCTCAGTCATACCAAAATTTTGTCAAATTACGTATTTTCAAGTTCCAACATCAGTGATTGCGCTGTGTACTGACAAAATTTTCGTTTGTAATTCACTTTAAAATGGCTGGCAAGCTTAAAAGTGAGAGTTTTGTGGTGCTGAGAAGAAAAAGAGACACCCATTTTAGATTTGCTGATATATCATTTAAGCATTTTCGACTTTCGACCATTTCGACTTACGACCTGGATTTGGGTCCCTAACCCCGTCGTAAGTCAGGGAGGAGCTGTATATAATTCAGGCACATTAGATTAGACATTCAACATTTGCACCATTCGTAGCACGAAGTAAGTCACAACGGTTCTCAATTTCCCTCCACATATTTTTTAACATCTCATGGTTATGGAGACCACAGCCGCTGTGATGTACTCGTTCAGATGAACAATGTCCTGCACCTTTGTGGAGTACATTTTGGACTTGACATAACTCCAAAGAAAAAAAAATCAAGCTTGGTAAGGTCAGGAAATCTTGGTGGCCAGGAAACGAGTCCGTCCCTACCCAGCCAGCGATCTGATACCCAAGCATTAAGGAAGTAGTGGATGTCATGGGGCCAGTGGGAGGAGCCCAAATCCTGCTGGAATATGAGATTCGGTTGGCAGTCCTCTACTTGCGGTGCCACAAACAGCTGAAGCATGTCTTAGGTACAGTCGCTCAAAAAGGTATCTGAAAAGTGGGGTCCAGTGGATGTCAAAACGAACAATACAACCCCTGTTGTCTGGGCAGTTTATCTTTATAATTACAAGTAGGGTATCCATCGGCATGTAAACTGTAAACATTGCATAACAGCCATACCTGTATGAAAGCAGTATAATCACCATACATAGCGTATTTGATGCCCAATGTGAAACACAATATCGACGACAGTGTAGAGTTGCCATATTGCTATGAACCCAAACTATGTATTCTGGATGCGGGAAGTGATTACACCAAATATTAATTCAATGAACATGAGATGCCATTACTGTTTACCTTACCTATTAATATAACATACCCTGATATATAATACATACCCTGATATATAATACATACATGCATACCAAATGCTATACGTATATGGATACAGTCAACATAAGCATTTAGTTGATGTTGTTGTTGTTGAGCAGAGGAAAATTTAAGCATTACCATGCACATATTGTTGACTGTATGTGTCTAACGTAGATAATGTCTTTTTAGACTCTCATTCTCCATTAATATAACCATATTAATTATATTCATATGAAACACGTTAATGACAAGCGGCAGGAGACGTTTTATATGGCAGCCATTGTGGTCCTCTACCATTTCCCCAAAACAAACGTCCGATGTGTCATATTGTCATGAACAATATTTTTCAGATACTTTTTGAGCGACTGTACACAAGGTCTGTCACAATGAGCCGACAGTCCTGTAGTGTAACATAAGACCACACCAAACGTTAACTTTTGGACTGCCTCTTTCGTCCTTGTGGCTTCTCCACTCCACAGATGCAGCAATTGTCTATTAACGAGCCCACATGTTTGAAATGTTGCTTCATCGGAAAACATGACCCAGTTCAGGTACTCAAGTGGTGTTGTCTGAGCTGCTAAATCAGTTGAAACTTATATGCATAGAGCTGCAGCCATGTTTGCACTACTTTATGCAATGTTGAACATGGAATTTGCAATTTGGTACTGCACAGCGGATGGTCTTTCTTGGGCTTCTGTGGGATGCAGCATGTATACGTTCAACATCCTCCTGCAATGTTCTGGACTTTCCTCCACCATGCTGTTTTAGAACACTGCCAGTTTCCTCTAATTGTTTCATCCATGCGTACAGGTCTCTTTGAGTCTGTGGTTCCTTGCCAAATGGTGTACAGAATTGTTATTGCACCGGGGTAGATGACTTCAGTTTGGCCATACATAACACATATTTCGTCTTTTCTTGTGGGGTCATCATGTTTCAATCTGAAACACAAAAAATCCTTAAGCACAGAAACTTAAATTAGGCTAGGCTGGGCTTGGCTTCAGTGTTGTTTCATTTCAATGTGGACACCCTGTACAGTATTTAGAAAAATATGGAACAAAGTATTTTTTTGCTATATACTATAACTACAGATACAAGGCTTTTAGAAATGAGAACTTTTAAAATTGTGAACCCTTCAATTTATGGTCATGCTATTTTGACAGTACAGTATATGAATATTATCTTTTTCAGGTATTGTGTGGAAAGTGTGGCAATGGCTTAGGCCATGAATTTTTGAAGGATGGCCCTGATGGAAAGAGTTCACGTTTCTGAATATTTTCACACTCCCTCAAATTTGTATCTAAAGAAGGTGAGAAAATTAATTTTTCTTTGTGCTATTCATACTTTTTTAATTAATATTAAAGTAGTAAACCCTCCCAATACTGAACTACAGGAATTCATGCAAGCCTTGTCCATTATTGGGAGGATTGGTCATTCCCCACCATTAAAATGCATATCTTATGAGGTAATGAATGTTGTACAGCACAGTAAGCCCTTCCTCCAACCCTGGGTTTAGGTTCCTCAAAAACGGTGTGTTAGGCAAATTCACTTTGGAGAAACATAATATCTAATGAGATTAATAGGAATAGGGGAACACAGCTGCATAAATTCTGTGATCATTATGTTGTACACATTTAAGCAATATTTAATAAAACATGTACTAATATTCCAAAAAAAAAAACAATAATTAAAAAATAAAAAAACACTGCACACTTACATTTGTGAAAGACTGAAACATAACACCCAGTGACTACTGAGGTGGGCTTTAGCTCTTCAGCCTTACAACCTGAAAATTGAACTTATCTGTGGGCAGAATATTGTGCTGGCAAATGCTCTCTCCCGAGCCTAGCCTTTACCAGTGCTCAAGTCTTTAGATGTAACGTGCTCCTATTATGTGGGCTACCGGTAATCCCTGTAAAAAAATATAAATAAATAAATAGAATAAAGCTGTTGTGGTGGTGGTCAAGGCCACCCATTGGTGTGAATCAGGTGTGTTGTTACAAATTACGTCTAGGATTTTACCTATAACTTTAGCAGTTCTGAAAAGTCGATTACAGGGGGTCCCCGACTTATGAATGTGGTTAAACTTAAATTTACAGTATTCTACTTACCTGATGACTTATTTTTATACTTTCATTTACTGTATTTTGTCATTCTGTTTCTTGTTTTTTTCTTAAATTAAGTGATTTTAGATGTATATAAGGACTATATACAGGTAGTGGGATTTTAAACATTGTTCTGTAAGTATGTTGGGCACATAGCATGTGTTTCGACTTACACACATCTTTTACTTAAGAACGTCCTCAGGAACAGAACACGTTTGTAACCCAGGGACCCCCTGTATTATTATAGGAATATTCACCTTGTATTATGAAATACAGTAGACCCTTGCCATTCGTGAGGGATAGGTTCCCAAAAATGGCGCGAATTGGCAAAACCGCGAAAAGCAACTTGTACTACCTTAGTGCACTACTGTATACCTATACCAACAACTGACCAGCCACACAGGACTCCTCCCCCCTTTTTAACTTTTCTAATAATGAAACTTTCTTTGTCAGGGTCATCACTGACTTCTGCCTTTTACATTTCATTCCACTAGCATCACTAGCACTGATACTAGCCAGTCTTTTAGGGGTCATTTCACACAGAAACACTAAAGTTTTGAGAGTACAACACAAGATGTTGCAAGGGGTGACTCGTGCTGTGGGAAAAGGTTTGCAAGCTATCCACCATTGCCACCATCTGGTTATCGCAAATTGTCGATATTGCAAATCGCAAACTCGCGAATGGCAAGGGTCTGCTGTATATTAAGATGAATTAATTACAGGAGCATAATATGAATTATATTAAGATACTGTACAAAAGTACGTTTGGGTGTGTAGCCCGGGAGAGGAGTTGGCGGGTGGCAGAGGAGGGAGAAGAGTAACTCACCTCCCGTGCTCATCAATCCCTTTTTTTTATCTGGAAATGGGAAAATAGATGAAATATTAAAGAAATATAGAAATTTTGCATCTAGAATATAACTATGTATTATAACTAATTATATGAAATATTAGGGATTTATGTGAGTCCTGAGAGGGACATTCCTGGACTGGGGTGAGGATGACTTATGTCACTTCATCCCTTTGAGATGTATTAATGTTTTTTTGTATCTCAATAAACGTATCAATCAATCAATCCCTTTATAACAGTACTATGCAGTTTTACCTACTCCCATATTATCTTGGTTCATTTAGTGCCGGATTGATAAAACATTATAAAAAAATAATTAATTTTCCTCCCAAAATCCCACACTCAACATAAGAATGGAGGAAACTGCAGCGGACCTATTGGCCCATACTGAGTTATTGTACCATAGTATATTCTCAGTTTCTTGCTTTGAACAGTAATAGCTGATCGGTCCTGCTTACCACAGGATGTCTTGAACATTCAGTAAATAATATTGTAGCACATTTTTCAGAACTAAATAAATATTATAGTAGTGTACAGTATAATGTGTCTCCATATGGCCCTGGTTTATTCACTGATCAGTTGTCTATGTGCAAAAGTAGCCATATCGAGCCATCATGTATCAGTTAATTTTAAAATAAAACTTTGAAATTAAAATCTTAAAAGACAATGGTTTAGTAGTACTGTTAATGTGTTTGTCACATCACCTCATCCCTTGTCTCGTCATCTCACCCCTCGAATATTCAGTTCACCTCGCAGTGACTCGTTTGTTTATTACTGCAAATAAATCGTTGTAGGTGTGCATACTCCATGTATATGCTGATAACCATATAGGAAAAAAAAACAAGAAGTTCCCAAGCGCTTTCGTGTACAGTATTTTCTCGATTTAACGAGCTAATTCGAGCCACCCATTTCCATTAAATCAAAATTTCCGCTAAATCAAATTTCCATTAATTTCGCTCAATTTAGCGAACTAGTTCACTAAATCGAGTGTGATTCCGTTAAATTCTGTGCCAAATGCGCCGCTTGGGTTTCATTTACATCCTCTCAATCTGTGTCCTGCTGCCACCGCATGTGTTGTTCACTGTTACATCTTGGTCAACTAACTATTGTACTTAGACATCATGCCGAAAGTCTCAGAAGTCTCGGAAAGGAAGTGGTGTGGGGGACAAAGTCAAAAGAGTGCAGCTATCAATTGAAAAAAGTTTGGAAATTATAGAAAAAATTGGAAACAACACCAAACCCCCCGGTTTAAGGTAAGCTATGAATAATGTTTCTATGTACATATGTGTCTGAGGCGTCTTCATAGTTGTGGGCGTATTAACGGAATTAATCTCGATTTAGCGAATTGGTTCACTAAATCAGGTGAAAAATAATGGAAAAAATTTCTTCCGCTAACCGAGAGTTCGTTATACAGGTGCTCCTCTACTTACGAACGAGTTACGTTCCTGAGGCTTGTTTGTAAGTCCAACTTTACTCTTGTAGATACCAAACATATTGTAAAAAATGAAAAGATTATGGATATTTAGTACAGCTATACCCTTTAATACAGCCTTAAAACCTGGCTCACTCTTCTCCTCTTAGGTAGTGTTTGTTCTATCTGGAATTTTCTTCAAAATAATCCAGTCTCATCCACACTAAACACCTGTTCTGGCAGGTAACCCCCCCTCAGTGATGTTTGTATCTGTGAAAGTTTGTAAGTTGAACGTTCTTAAGTAGAGGCGCACCTGTATTGGATTCCGTTAAGTTGAGAGTATCCTGTACTTACCGGTAACAGGTGAATTACACAAAAGCGCTTGGGAACTTTGGGTTTTCTATTTTCCTATGTGGTTATCAGCATATTATTTATAACTGTATTATTTGCTTTATTATTACTGCATGTACATTTAGAAAATATTTTTTGTTTGCACATACAAATAAATAATAATGAGAAAATCCTCTCACAAATAATCAGAAATAAATGTATGTATATTAAAAATGTTGAGTCTACCTTCAAGTCTACTCCGTGCTTTGTTATTTATTATTTGTTAAAGGATTTTCTCATTATTTATTTGTATGTGCTTTGTGTGTGTGTGTGTGTAGACACACACACACACACACACACATATTTACAATACAAGTAAAGGAAATTACTGTCTCTAGAATGAATGGCTCCCTGTTCTGGCTTCAAAAATGCCAGCAACTTTAAAACTACCCTTAGACATTCTTGGGTACATCCAGGGTGTCATCCCCGAATAATCTAAGTCCACAAATTTGAAGGGCATGCTGTACTGTAAATTTCAAGTTTATTCCTATTCATAAGTCGGGGAACCCCTGTATTTGGATATATGTAATTGATAGGGCAATTAATTTCTTTTAGTTCAGTTTCATTTTCCTCTTCCATATCCAGAGGGAGACGAGAATCAGATCAAGAATGGTAATGCACAAAGCAATGGAAATTCCTGAGGGCCAAAAGGAAATTGTGAGAAGTCAAGGACGGCCTCCACTAACCAAGAAAATTGCAACCTGTTTTAGAATTCGTAGGTCAGAGTTGAAAGTTATATGAACTATGATTTTTATTTATTAGGAACTAATCAAAGTCTGATGAAATTGCTCGAAGTAAATGTTGTTAATATTAGTAATAAATTGAACTTCCCCATTATTATGGAATTTATAATATTTTAAGTTTCAATTTGTTTAGAATGTGTACATTCTATCTGTAAGTGCACTGTATTTTGATACAAATCTCAATTTAGGATCATATCAGTTTTCAGGGAATCTCAGTACAGTATTGTAGCATTAGATGTTGATCATTTAATGAGTTATTTTTTGGGGGAGCTCTGAATAAATTTTTTTTAATGAGTTATGTGAATTAGTGTCATGAAGCTTTAAAGATAAACTTGATGTCAAGGTCTCTATGGTGGATGTCTTGCCTAAACCACATAACTTACTTCCTTGTCTGTTTTCACAAGTTACAAAATTGTTAGTAGACAGCTTTTGTGTGTTACCTTATTTTGTACATATCTGATCATAACATCAGCTGGCCATGAAAATATTTAAATAATTGATATTTAACCTTAAAAAGTAACTCATTAAATGAATAAGATGTTTAATCTTGTCATATACTTCAAAATAATAAAGGAATTACGTTAATAGAATATGATCTATTCTTGCCTGATGGCATCTCATATCTGAAGTAATTTCTCGCCTCTTCCCATGGTATTCTTGGCCTACCCTTAACTATACTACTCCCTTCTGCATTCAAACTCCTGTGTTTCTTGACCCAATTGGACTTCTGTATTCTCTCCACAAGTCCAAACCATCCCAGCCTCAGTCAATCAGAGTACTGTCCTCATCTGCTTTGGCCCGCCTCCACATTGACCACACACGGGTGGTGCCATTGACTGTTTAACACCTCCTGCAGTTGGTGCGCCGAACCCTCAAAACTGGAGGTCAAGGTACCACCAGGAGAGACTAATGTTATCATATACCAATAGGAAGCTTAACATCTCTTCTTTTCATAAATGTATGATAGCAGTGTCATAGGTGCAGTTTAAGTGGAGAAAATTCATATTAAAGAAGGGTACCCAAACGACTTGCATGGGCAGTTCGAAGTCACAAGTCCTGTAGCTATACCCCCGGGGGTAGGGGGTATGGGTCTTACTGTCTATCTTTGGTGCTGGGATGAGGAGTGGGTAACGTGGGAGGGGAAGCCCTTTGAATTTTATTTATCGACGTTTAAATGGTCTTTATGAAAGTTCTATGTTATTTATTGTGTTTTTACCTTGCATTATTTTATTTTAGTCTTTTAAGCCTTAATTTTAATTCGGTGACATACGACCTAAGCTGTTGCATCGCCAGGGATATAATTGCCACAATCAGTCAATCAATTCTCCTATCTGAGGGTTGGTAACCACAGTCCTTCACTCTAACATTCTCAGGCTGTTTTTACCTTCCCCTGACCCTCCTACTCTCAACTTTGCCCACTAATATTTTTGTTGTTATCCCCTCATCCCTAATTATATGACCAAAGTACAGTATTGTCTCGATTTATGCATTTGGTCATTTACGCGGCACCTGGCCAGACCAGCAATTATTAGTTACAAGGTTCATTCCATCATTTACGCGGGAAGCGGCATGGGCAGGGTGCGCACAAGGTCGCCCAGTTAACAAAACATTACCGAGTTCTTCACCCGCCACCCACCACAGCCAGCCCAAGTCAGTGATAGTGACAGTGAGGATATGGACTTTGAGGGGTTTGACAAAGAGGCCCTGCAAGCCTCTGTGGTGGATAGTGATACAGGTGATACAAATGATACAGGTGAGGGCCAATAATCTGCCCTCTGCCTCGGAACCAACCCCCCATCACCCGTGTGCCCAGCCATCTCTTCTACTAAAGTAAGTGTTAAAAAACCTAATATTATTGATATTTCTCTTAAATATTAATTGTGTGTGCATACCATCATAAAATTAAGATGTTATTTTTACTACAACATACGTATTGGGTCAGAAAAAGGGTAGTCTGGGGGTCGGCCCAGTCTCTATTTCAATTAATTACAAATGTTCTGTTATTTCGTTTACGCGTTTCTCGTTTTACGCGAACCTCCATGGGTTTAATTGACCGTGTGAACTGAGACTATACTGTATCTCATTCTTTTTCTGTACATTTTGAGTGTTTCTCTTCAAGTTTTTGCTAATCTTAATTCTTCTTCATTTGTTTTCTTGTCAGTGAAGCTTATTCTTAGCTTTCACCTATAACACCACTTTTCAAAGGCCTCCAGCCTCTTTCTGGTGTATGCTGAAAATGTCCAGGCTTCTGACCCATACATCAGCCTTTTTCTCAAATTTAAGTTTTCATTAGGTCTTTCAGAGTTCTTCCATACATATACCATCACAACTTATGTTACTTCCCATATACATAAAATTTTCCACTGCTTGTGATAAGAGCAGTATCATCTGCATAGCGTTTATTTGATATTACTTTACCATTAACTTTTAGTCCTTCATTATCACTTACAACTTCTCTCATTAAGAATTCTGAATACAGTCGCATCACATCTTGTGCAAGGGTTATGTGTTTAGTCAAAATTACCCTTAGAAATCCCTAAAATCACCCATGGTTATATACACCGTCAATAGCGCATCTGGCAACTTGGCGAGTTAGGCCTATTTCAGTTTAAATGTGCACCACACACAGTAAGAGCCAAATTTTTTGTATTAATTACCATAAGGTCAAAAACATAAAGGGAATTAATCAATATGTGTGTAGAAGCAAGCACTAAGGGTGGGAGGTAGAGAGTTACAGCTTGCGTTTCCTCACTCACTGCTCCGCTCTTTCACGGTCTCCTGCTAAATGGCAAAGCACTATTTTTTCTTTTTTATTATTACTGCATTATATTTCTTATTTACCCCTCACATTAACATTTACTGGTACAGTATTATATTATTTTTTGTACAAAGAATAAGTTCTACCACACATCCAGCTCGCAACATAGTTCAGACAATTACCCCGCATAGCCGACTCACAAACGTGTGGTGGGTGTGTATGCCGTGATGTCATGTCATGCATTAAAGCCCAGTAACCCACTACCCCATAACTCATTTACTTCCCACATATGCTCTTTTTTTTTCTTATTTTACAGTTTTATATTATGTTTTCCCTATTTCTAGGCAACATTAGAGTATTGTAATGATTTTTTCAAAACTTGTATAGTTTCATTACAAATAACATTATACGAGGTGGCTGGGCTGGTGCGTCAGCTACATAGTTTGTAGCAAAGACCTTGGCTAGAACTGCCTCCATACATGTCCACTTCTAAAATTTACACACCCATGGTCTTCATTTTCTTGTTTTATATTATATTTTCTTTATTTCTAAGCCACATTAGAGTACTGTATTGTAATCATTTTTTTACAACTTGTATACAGTAATCCCTTATCCAATGCGGGGGTCAGGTTCCTCGAAAACAGTGTGTCGGGCAAAATCCCATCGGGCTAACTTAGCTTCATATGGGAAAAATGGGGTGTCGGGATCGTGGCCGCGTATGGACAGAGAAACAAAATGCTCAAATTCAATTCTAAAATACATTGATGTCATAGATATTTTTGGCTAATAAGTGGTGTCAAAGAATTTTAAGACAAGTACAGTTGCCTCCACATGAACATACCACAGCCTGGGAGTGGGTAAGAGATGTGACAATACACCAACAGGGCCAAATGAGTGGGCGTGAAACAGGGAAATTACCCTGTACAGTATGTGACAAAACACATAACAATAGAGGGGGGTAAAACATAAACAAAACCTGTAATGGTGTTATGCAGCATTGCTTTTGTTACCTCCGAGTGACAGGGACTAACTATGGAGACCGGCAAACAGGGTAATCCACGATTTCATGCCCATGACGCTGCATTGCCACAACTTGTAAATGTGCCCTCACACACACCTAGGCCATGGTACATTCATGTGGAAGCAACTGTACATGAAGGTCAGGGTACAGGTTTTTGTTCATCTTATCAACAGGGAATTTAAGAGTTCAGATTTGACAAGGTACTAATAAGTCTGATCCACTGTAAAGGCACTGCCTCAGTGACCTCAATTATATTGTTTTCATTGCAAGATTCAACAAATTTCTTGTTGCTTTGCCTAACTTAATAGAAAACATTGAACTGGTATGAAAAATATCCATGGCCTCAAGCTGCCAATAGTACGAAGTTGGGCATCAGTTTAGAATGGTATTAACAATATAAAAAACAAAATGGAGCTTGGTTGGATTTATTTATTTATTTTATTTTCAGTAGAGCACTTGCTTTTTCTGTGCTACACCAAGTCCCATTACACTGCTTGGTGACCTGCTGCTCTATGACCTTGGCTAAATCCAGCAATTGTTGCTTTTCTTTGGGCTCTCACCGTGCAGGTCATACATATGCACCAACATGGTGAGTCCTTGAAGGCATCATTCAGGCTTGGTTCAAACCTGGGATATAAAGTCGTAAAGAACTCCAAGTCAATCTATGATTTTAGCAGTGGATTGGCTAAATAAATTAGTACATGGCAACAGGAAACTTTGTTGGTGAAAATATTGATTGCTGTTATGTCCATATTAATTGCAATTATTTAAATGATTCCCATTTTGCAATGGGAACCCATGATTTTGCTCCCCAGCCAAGACATCACACACTATCCTTCCGAGGACAGTTGTGATCTTTTACTTTATACTGTACCATTAATATTTATACTCGAGGAAATCACCTAAAAATCTATCCATTTTCAAGCCCTTTTTATGCATCATTACCTGTTGTTGGCATTTATGCTGAATGGTCTCTTGCAGCCTCACTTCTCAGGTCATTTCTTACATTAAAGTCCTTCTTGGCTTACCCTGAAGCTTTTAATTTTAATATAATTGTTGAAAAATACACAAATTAAGGATCTCAAAATAAAAACACAGAGTTCTTTCCCACTCAAAGATTTGCAAATTCCCCAGACAAAGCATATTAATACCTTGCCTCATAGGGGCCAATCAATTTTACCCAGGTTATTCACACAAGGTTACTCTGCCAATGTTCTCATTCCTGTTACCTTAAAGTAATAAATACTGTATATACATTATAAATTAATTAGTTAGGAGTAAAGTATAGAAGTATTACTTGATAGCTATATTTAAATTAAGCAGATACAAATATTTTCATGCTGGCAGGCTCTCTGAATGCCTGCTGATGTGTATCTGTCATAAATAACTGCAGTTGCAATTTGATGCAGAAATAACCAAGCTGTTGTATAACATGTTTACATCAAATGCTTCTGTTAAGGCCATCAAGAGGTCAATCTAGGCTTTACTGTATTTACTTCACCCCACCAAAATACTTAACATGCATTACTCCTACACTTGTGCCCTGCTCTTTTAAAGCAAACTTGGGAGTCTTACAGTACAGCATTTGAATGGTCCTATAGGTATAATTATTTAGCAATATTTGCTTAAAAACCAATCTTGCATTTAAGTACCAGTTGACAATCCCTCATCAGAAATCCTTGGGGCCAGATGCATTTCTGATTTCAGAACGGTTATTTATTTTTTTTTTAACATGGATCAGCCCACCGACCCATAATGGGGCCTGGGGGGCAAAAAAATAATAATTCATAGGTCTAGGTCGTGTTCCTCATTTTTTATCTTTTCATTCTTGGATTCATTATTATTATTTTATTAGTATTATTGTTATTAATTTTATTGTGTATTTTTTATCAATTTTATTTGCTATGAGTAATAATTATTATTATATTTTCGCCCCCCAGGCCCTGATGTGGGTCAGTGACCTGTGCCAGGGTGTGCTAATCCCTGTAAAAAAAAAAAAGTAGTGCTCCACAAAAAAATAATTTCGGTTTTCAGTTTTCTAAATTTTGTATAAGGGGTTGTCAACCTGTAACTAAGGACCTTAAAAGTTTTAGAATATTACAAAAGCCAAGACACCCAAAAGGAATGGGGTCAGAAGCTTGCTTAGGAGCCCAAAGCCAACAAGTGACTGGTGGTAGTAGGTACATTGTCAAAGTTTTAATTTTAACAGAACAAAGATTGTGAACAATAGTATAATGAAACTTTAACTTTGTACATTTTTTTTTCACTAATATTTACACAATTCAGAAATTACCTTTTTGGAGAAAAAGGGAGGGGAAGGTCTCCGCCAATTCAACTACACTTTACATGTCCAAATTCCTTACCACTAAAAAATATTTTAATTTAAGTACTAGTACTAAATAAAGATTTACTGCCGTCTGCATTACATATCCCCATGGAATAACTTCATCACTAGGCACACCTCCAATCCTGCAAGAGTAATGGTACAGTACTTTTACATACACAAAAAGTAGGGTCAAGGAAACTATAGTTTTTCTGTGATTTTACTGATGAAAGTGAGAAGACGACATACACTGAATATCAGCCTGGCGTCGACATTCAAATACAATGTAAAAATCATGTAAATGAAAAAAAAACTTCTAGGTGACTGAAGTTAATCAAGGGCTACTCAATTGAAACCACACATGATGTTATGACCAACTACAATAGTCACAAGTACGGCATCCTCACCCACATTAATGACTACTGTACATATAAGCTACAGATCTAGGTGTGTGGGCAAAAAGGAATGTTAAGTTACAGCTGGCCAGAATTGGCAATAATAATCTTTGAGGTGGTCTCGCCACTTGGCCTCCCAAAACCTTCAACTTGACGAACAACATCCATGCCTTCAATAACATTGCCAAAGACAACATGTTTCCCATCAAGCCATTGGGTCTTCACAGTGCACAGGAAGAATTGCGAGCCATTTGTGTTGGGGCCAGCATTGGCCATGGACAGGACACCTGGGCCAGTGTGACGCAGAGTGAAGTTTTCGTCGGCAAACTTCGTCCCATAGATTGACTTGCCACCAGTTCCATTACCAGCAGTGAAGTCACCACCCTGACACATGAAGTTTGGGATGACACGATGGAAGGTGGAGCCCTTGTAGCCGAATCCTCTTTCTCCTGTACACAGAGCACGGAAGTTCTCTGCAGTCTTGGGAACTACGTCAGCACGCAGCTGTGGAAGAAATTGGGAATTAGCCTTGACCATCAAAGCAGATTCTATATAGGAGTCATCAAAATTGGTCCCGTCCCACAATCAAAAAAAAAATGGGGATGGGGGCTTCAATAAAGATCTGATAATTCCTTGATACCAATCTAGATTAATTACATTTTCTAACCATCAATTACAATTCCACTGCATTTATAATGAACTAATAACCAATTTACTAGACAATCCATAGCCATATTTTTTGACAAATTATTAAATGGCATATACTGTACAGTACAGGCATCCCAGGCTACAGAAATTCTCCCTTAATGAATTTTGGTGCCATAAAATTTTTAATAAAAAAAAATAATTTAACAAGAAAATTAAAAAAATGTTTAGTGTGGATTACGTGATAACCAAATAACTGTTGAAGGCCACTGACCACCCCAGTTGCCAACAAGCACAACAATGGCACTACTCGGTTAAAAAAATTTTCCCCAGCGTGTGTTCAGTTATGCTTCTGTTCAAGACTATTTGCCCTTATGGACTTCCAGTAGGGTTAATTTATTAAGATTTCCAAAAGACAATTGTGAGCACATTCATGCATTCAACACAAAAAATACAATAGAAAAACAGTTCACCTCAAAGTCTGTACCGTATCTCCTGAATGAATCCGTATTTAAACCAACGAGAAATTGCAGCACCAGCTGTGTAGATATTCTGAACTACACACCATTGAGTAGACTTGGTTAGGGAGGTTTCTTTCCCAAGGATGTTATAGGCATTTCCTCTAACCTTACATTCTGAATGTAATCGCAAAAAAATTATGAACAAACAAAGGCTTCCTCACTTTGTATTCCATTGGCGTTTAAGTATTCACCAGGAGTCCTTCATAACGACATTTATAAGGTTTTACAAAAATGTTTCTCAATTTTATACACGTGTTCATTTTAATTGGTTGTTTTCTTGTAAATGATAAAAGATTTGGTAAAGGTATGGAAGAGGGTGACCACTAGAAATTATTCAAATTGGTTTAAATTTGTTCTACACAAATATTAAACAAAAGGAAACGACAATGCATAGAATCAAATAGAACCTGACCTAATATACCCATAGGTTGGGTATGTTAGGTCAGGTTTTATTAGGTTCTATGCATTATTTTGTATTCATTGTTTTTATATAATGCTAATATATTAAACAAATGGAAACGACAAGGTACAGAACCTTACAATTTATTTATTTACTCTATCCCACTTCACAATTCTCCTCCCGGCACCATTTTTGTTGTTTACCCCACTGAATCCCTTTTCAAGAGACGTTTTCTAAATGATGGTGGACGCTTCCACGAATTCCTCCTAGCCATTGCCAATTTAACCTCAATATTAATGTAAGTTGTTAAACAAATTAACACTATAATGCATAGAACCTGAACTAACATACCCATAGGTTGGGTCAGGTTCTATGCAGTCGTTTCCATTTTTGTGTTTAATATGACATTTGTGAAGAACAAATTTAAACCAATTCGGACAATTTCTTCTGGTGGTCATCCTCTTCTACACCGTAACCAAACATTTTTACCTATGTGAATTTGATTAAATTTTTAATAAACATGAATCGCCCAGTTCATAAACTAGGGTATGATTTAACTAATGTTGCTTAGTACGACAAAGGGGTAGACTGGAAATGTCCAAGTTGGCTTTGGTGCCTATCGTTCCCCATTTCCACGTGGAATCCAGAATTCAATTCTGAACATGTGGGGTATATATTGTTTGTATAGTACAACATACTAAGGTCCACACACATTTTGACTTCCGAGATATATAATAGGCTAGTATTGTCTTACTATGTTTTCATGCGAGTTATGTGACGATCATTTCTTTTAAAAATCATTAGTTTGATAGATAATTAAGTGCCTAGGCTCACATTAGTCACTACCTTCTCTTGCACAGTGATAATTGGGCAAGGTAGGGCCCTATCAAAGCCTACGGCTAAGCACATGCGGTTCAGTTTAAGTTTATGAGGCTGCTCTCACCCCCCCCCCCCCAACCAGTAAAATAACACCATATCACAGTAAACACTGTTTAATATGCTGGGAGGCCTCAAGGGTGGAGCCTCAACTAGGAATTTAGGCAGGTTTCTTTGGTTAGGTTGGTGAAGTCTTAACGCTCTGCCACTTGTTTTCGTATCAACTAAGGTTTAGTTTAGATAAAACCACATTTTACACATTTGCCAAAACTATGACAGTGTTCACTATTAAGTGACCAGGAAGTTTTCAATTATAAAAGAGAACATTAGTTGGCATTGTCAGCCTAGATTGGTCGCCAGGGTTGGATCTTCTTGACATTTAGGTATGTCCAGGGACAAAATCTCCGTTGTAATCTGCAAAATTGTGTTTGGGTCAGCAGTAGTGGTATTGCTGTATTTCACTTGTTGCCACTCCATTCCGGGAATTTTGTATTTGCAATCAGTAGTTTTGACACTTCCAAGACTTAATTCAATGGCATTTCTGGCACAAATTAAGTATAAGCGAGACATTTAACACTGAAAATTTTTCACTTGCCACTAAACGAATCCCGTGAGTTTTATAGTTGCAATCTGTAGTCTTGACACTTCTAAGACTTTTCTTCAATGGCATTTCTGGCGGAAATTACGTTTAAGCGAGATATTTAATATTTTATTATGTATGTTCAAACATGGCAGTACACCCAGAACATCTAACGACTGTGGAGCTCCCCAGTTAGGTTTGGGGTAAATTTTTACTTTAAGACACGAGTCCCAAGGGGTTGACCAATATATTCTGCCAGTGCATTTTAAACGAATCTGACCATTTGGGGCGCAAATTGATCGCCCCCCAAATAAAAATAATGGGGGATAACCTGGGAAATCAGGGGTTTTTGGGGGGGGACCTAACACCCCTAGCCAGGAGCTCCGCCCCTGGGTCCCCCGGTAGGCCTAGCTTAAACTTACCCAAATATTTCAGTAGTTAAAAACTTTGGGGGGCGCCTTGTCCGAAAGTACAATACCTTAGAAGTGGAATGACCAGGGATATGTAAGAATGGGATAGGATGATCGTCTTGTAAAACTCTGCAATAAACTTAAAATAATAATAGGAGCACAAACGACAACCAACCTCCACCACGACCATTGTGAAACTGATCAATGAAATTAAAATCATACCACTGAGCTATAATTTAATGAGGAATAAACCAGAATAAGACTGAGGATGGGAAGGTTTGTTCACCAGACTTTTCTACCGTTAGATTTGTCAGTTTAGTCTTTTTCAAGGCGTAAAAAGATCACACCAAATAGGCCGAATTCATTACCTTATAAATGTTCTCCGGACTATAATACGATACCATTTCCTGCCTCCAAATGTTAATTCCATATTCTACCATCAACGGCGATAGGTACCACAGGAATAACCAATTAAAATACAATGGTAATTATTGGTGAATTTGGTATAAATCAGTAATTCTATGTGAAATATTAATGAAGTAACATATTGTCAAGCTGCCTGTTGTCACGTGTGTCATGACAATAAACGCCGGCATCATGACAGCTCGGCTAGGACATGTCACAAACTGATTTTTCCTTAAATAACACACATAACGTAATATTATTTCACACTTGCCTCCATAACAACTCTACCAAGAGGTTTGCTGTCCGCTACAACATCGAAGAAGACCTGAGGATTCCCCATGGCGAATATATCACGACTTTCTAGAGAGAGAACTGGACTGGCTCTGACCCACGAGTCTCCCGGAGGTTAAGGGACCACTGCCGCGGAGGGATATCTCTTTATCACTCTGTGGAAGCATTTTTATTTCAATTTGATATATTAATTTGTATATCTTTAGTTGTAAGAATTTATATTTTCATAACAAAAAATATCAATTGTTGGGAAATTATTTAATATTTAACATTACCAAGGAGTTGAAGGGACTAGTTTTAAGCGCGGATAAGTGTGAGTTTGGGTTTGTGGTGGAATGGAAAATTCCACTGCCTGTTTGGGTTTACTTGAGTAACAAATGTAAAATATTTAAATATGAACAAGTCATCTTTTAAAAATGAGTAAAAAATAGTTTTAAATTACCTAATACTATTTTATTATTATTACATTGTCAAATAATATCTAAATACAATAGATGTTTAGGTAGCTGCACCGCGGCTGACCAATAGGATTTCAGGACGTCGCACGCCAATGTAGGAGCTGAGAGGTGATTGGCTACGAGGAAGGGCGGTAACTTAAAGACCACATGTTGCATTTATGATAGGTCATTTTTCATAAATAATATCAGCATATATACTTAATATATTTTTTATTTGTAGTACCTCTTATGTAAGTTTACAGATACGATACTAAATCGAAAGAAAATAGTGACAGGACAGGATGCAACTCTGAGTTAATATTGATTGACTGTGGCCGGAAGGTGACTGCAATATTCTCTTGTTATCCAGTTAATGCATCTGATCAGTAACTCTACATCTATTTAACAACTAGAAGGCACAGTCTTCGTCACATACGGCTGTAAAGAGTTTCTCGTTTATTGTATTCAGATAAAATCTACCTATTTGATATATATTTTTTATTTAATTAAAGATGGCGGCATGGCCTTAAAGATTAGGAATCCCGTATATTTAACATATTGATTAAACACCTTGTGAATTAACCGGGGATACGAAATCTTTATGAGGTACAGGATAACTAAAGATTACATCTACAATATGGGCCGCAAGGTATATATATATATATCAACAAATAGTATAAATTGGGCCATTGTAGGGTAGCTGGTTCAGTACTGCTTGAGTACGTTAATTGGTTCAGTACGGCTTGGGTACGGCAGCTGGTTCAGTACTGCTTGAGTACGTTAATTGGTTCAGTACGGCTTGAGTACGGCAGCTGGTTCAGTACTGCTTGGGTACGGCAGCTGGTTCAGGACTGCTAGAGTACGTCATTTGGTTCAGTACTGCTTGAGTACGTCAGTTGGTTCAGTACTGCTTGAGTACGTTAGTTGGTTCAGTACGGCTTGGGTACGGCAGCTGGTTCAGTACTGCTTGAGTATGTTAATTGGTTCAGTACGGCTTGGGTACGGCAGCTGGTTCAGTACGGCTTGCACGGCAGCTGGTTCAGTACGGTTTGGGTACGGCAGCTGGTTCAGTACACGGCAGCTGGTTCAGTACTGCTTGGGTACGGCAGCTGGTTCATTACTGCTTGAGTACGTCAGCTGGTTCAGTACTGCTTGAGTACGTCAGTTGGTTCAGTACTGCTTGAGTACGTTAGTTGGTTCAGGACTGCTAGAGTACGTCATTTGGTTCAGTACTGCTTGAGTACGTCAGTTGGTTCAGTACTGCTTGAGTACGTTAGTTGGTTCAGGACTACTAGAGTACGTCATTTGGTTCAGTACTGCTTGAGTACGTCAGTTGGTTCAGTACCGCTTGAGTACGTCAGTTGGTTCAGTACCGCTTGAGTACGTCAGTTGGTTCAGTACTTCAGTAGGACAGCTGGAACAATGCTGCATGAGTAGGACGGCTGGCGCAGTATAGCTTAAAGACGTCTGATGCATTTTAGCTTGCGTAAGGCAGTTGGTGCAGTATAGCTTAAGCAGAACAGCTGGCGCATTATAGTGCATCTTGAGCAAACAGCTTGAGCATTACAACTTGTGAGACAACTGGTGCTGTATAAATTGAGTGGGTCAGCTGGTGCAGTATAGCTTACATGTGGGTCAACTGTGGGTCAGCTGGTGCAGTATAGCTTATATGTGGACCAGCTGGTGCAGTATAGCTTATATGTGGACCAGCTATAATAGTACTGAACCTGTCGGAACCAAACTGAGGTACAGTATACTCTTGTTAACGTCTGGAGCCGAGCAGCGATCCAGTGGGTGTGTGTGTATTGCCTCGTTAAAGGGATTGGATTTTTTTTAAGGGGGAGGGGGGTGGGTTAAAGGATCCAAAATTAGCTTTTTATTGTTATGGCTGTCCGTACGTAACATCCTATTGGGGCTTTTGAATTTATTTACAAGTATTATATTACTACTGTTAATAAAAATTACCCTAAACACCCTTTCTTACATTGAATAGTTTACTTCACATTTCTCTTCTGAATTTTTATTTTATCCCATTATTGTTTTATTGTTTTTTTGTTTTTTTTTAAACTCAACGTAATTTATTTTTCATTTGTATATTAAACGGAGGTAATTTATCGATACGTCAGTGAAAGTTTCATTGGATTTTATGAATGTTTATCTCGTCCTAAACATACTGCACTTAACCAGCCAATCATTTGATTTATCATGATAACTTTATCGTTCATGTGATCTCAAAAAATAATAATTTAGTCTATACCCAGGTATGTTCGGCCCACTATAATACCGTATACAATCGTGTTTTTTGTGGCCAATAGTTATTTCTTGTCTAATATAAAAAGTTTGAAAGTTGACCAAAACAGTGTTCCTTAAAATTAAAGTTTTGTTTTTATCCTTTACTTTAAAACCGATTTAAGTTGGATAAGTTTAGGTTTAGGAGGGAGATGGGAAGGAACTGGTTCACAAATAGGGTGGCAGATTAGTGGAACAAGCTTAGCAACTTTGTAGTAAGTGCTGGGACGCTGGAAAGTTTTAAAGGGAGGCTAGATAGATTCATGGACGATAGAGAGTGGTAGTAATTTGACAGGAGCTGCCATGCACAGGCCAACGGACCTATTGCAGACTCCTTATTTTCTTATGTTCTTATATTTTATTTCTCGGTTAGATTCTATACAATATATATATATATAATCACAGTAGGTGCACGTGATCCATGTGATAACCACATAGGGAACAAGAAGACACGAAGTTCCGAAGCGCTTTGTGTTAAGCTAGGAACCCATGTGTACGTAGTGCGCAATGCGTGATGCGTATAATTCAAAATAATTGAAAACAAGTTGAAATGATTCAATGTATACGTATTGCGTGATGCGTATGCCTAGTGTCTTGTGTGTTACGTATTCACCGCTCTCAAGGGAAGTGAACAAGCATCACGCAAGTAACACGCCAGGGATGAAGAAGGGGTTTTCCCGTTTCATCCACGTGCTTTCATAGCGTCTGTTTTTGTATTTGGGTGCGTTTCTATGCCAAATTGTTCTCGTCATCACTATGCTACGTAATGTCATATCAAATGTGATTCTGGAGAAGCTAACTGAACTGGTCAGAGAGCATCGAACAATATATGACGCAAGTAGGAGAGATTACAAGACTGCGCGATTTTGCTAACCAATATTTGGAACAGTATGGCCGTATTCTTGTTAATTTACTGGGACTACAGAATTGACTGGATTAATAATAACTGTTTTGTGCATCTAGCATAAATAGTAAACACAAAACAAAATACATTGGAATTTCTCTTTAAACAGCTCTTAAAATAAATCCCTTTCATAAAGAACACAGTTTCATGTTCCCAAGCACTTCGTTAAGTCGTCCCCCCCTGTATTATGCGTACTACACTATACTGTACACAGAGTTCCACACCAGATGAACTTTGCCGTGAAAAGAACTTCCACGCACCACGCATCACATTTGACGGACATATGGGAGCAGTGGATACGCACCACGCATACGCTTCACGCATTGCGCGTTACGCATATACGTACACGTGGGTTCCTAGCCCAATTCACACCTTCGGGGGTACAGCCTGTTCTCACCCCTGAAGATGTTAATTACACGAAAGCGCTCGTTGGGAACTTCGTGTTTTCTTGTTATCAGCACATCAGCAGTTTAAGGACATTCAAAGACGCATTGGGAGTTGACATGTCCACACAATTTACATGCAGTGCGGCAAGTTCAGGGTTGTCCACGTATTTCCTAGAAACCCGATAATTCAGGTGTAGTATCGTATAATAACTTGAAGTCGAAGCAGGGGTATTTATTCTTTGTAGTGGCTATTGGCATCATAATGGTGCAGTGTATGACTTCCCTGAATTTTAGCATTCATTCATTGTGCACCAAAAGTTTTTCCACTGATAGACAAGGCAAGACTAGCTTGGATATCTCCTTTATAGATTGCTTCTTCGATGAGATGATCGTCATTATCACATGATTTGATACCTGTGAAAGAGGTAACCCAGAGGAACTTTACACAGACGTTGTTAGTCGTTTCAAATAGTGTGACGACACTGAGAGAAAGTTGGAATACGAAGTTGAGGTGTTGAAGCCTCGCCAGCGCGGAGATGCTATCGTTGATGAAAGGAAGGAGGTAGTGTTGAGTGAGGGCGTCATCAGCGCTCTTGTGGATGCTAGCTAGAATGACTAAACTTTCATTGTCGGTGTAAGAGTCTAGCCATGAACTCTCATATTCTTGCGTGTTTAACTCTCAGTGATCCACGCTCCTGCTCCAGCTCTCCAGCCACCAAACCCTTCACAAAACACAAAGAGTGGAGATTGTGAAGCAGTTATGGAAGTAGCGGCGTCGCAGATGAGTATACGGTACAGTATGTAGCAGACCTGACAGGTTTTGTGACCAGAGAGTGTTGAGGACAGTATTAATGGTGAAGAGCGTCACATGATGGAAGAGGCATATGAGTAACATTGGGGTGGGTCGGTAATCGAGTTGTGTGAAAGTGGATCTGCTTGACTTAGGGAGAAACAATTGAGACCCTGCAATTGTGTGTAAATAAAGCAGAAAATCAGATCAGCAACCTGGGACTTGGTCACAATTTTTGTGATGCCATATGGCAGCAGGGTCTACCATTAGACAACACATTATGCTTCCAATATCTTCCCAGGCGGTAGTACCTCCCTGTTTGTGAGGTCC